CCTTGATGCAGGGGCCGGCCCAGTGGCGCACTGGAGAGTGCGCCGCTTGGGAGCGCAGCGGGGCTCCCGCTGAGGGTTCGGATCCCATATGGAGACCGGTTCCTGCTCACTGGCTGAGCGCGGTGGGGGCGCAACACCGAGGGTTGCGATCCCGTTGCCGGTCCCTGGTACAGGCGCAACACCAAGGGTTGCGATCCTGTTACCGGTCAGTAAAAAAGACAAAAAAAGAAAAAAGAAATTAATAACAGAAAGATATCTGGAAGATCCCCAAATATTGGTAAACCAAATATGCTTCTAAATATCCCATGCATCACAGAAGAAACCAAAGATAAATTTAAAAATATTTTTAATTGAATGAAAATGAAAATGCAATGTATCAGAATTTGTGGGATGCCCCTAAAGCAATACTTAAAAGAAATTTACAACATTAAATTATTAGCCATTAAACATTTAATTGTTAAATAATTATTTAATTATTAGTTATAGCATTAAATTACAATGCTATAAATTATATCAGCAAAGAATAAAGATCTCAAATCAACGACGTTGAATTTAACCATAAGAAACAGAAGAAAATAGCAAATTAAACCCCTTGTAATCAAAAGAAAGAAAGTAATAATGATCAGAGTGAGAATCACTGAAAAAGAAAAAAAAAATAGTGAAAGTACAACCAAGAGCAATAAAAGAGCAATAAAATTGATAAACCTCTTGCCAAACTGATCAGGAAAAAAAAAGAAGATACAAATTTGAGAGAGGTGACATCACTACAGAATCTACAGGTATTACAAGGATAATATGAAAATATTATTAACAACTTTATGCCTATACTTTGACAACTTCAATTTAACGGAAAAATTCCTTGAAAGACACATGCTACCAACAATCATTCAAGAAAAATCAATAACCTACCTAATGCTATAATAAAGAAATTTAGTTTGTTGTTAAAAATATTCCAACAATGAAAACTGCTAGAGCCAATGGCTTCACTGGGAAATCCACCAAACAGTTAAAGAGGAAATAAAGCTGGTTCTACACAAACTCTTCCAGAAATTGAAGAGAAGGTAACACTCCTCAACTCGTTTTATGAGGCCAGCATTACTCTGATATCAAAACCAGACAAAGATATTAAAATCTAATCTCAGCAATTTTCAAATGTATAGTGCATTTTTAAATATGTAAAACCTAAAACTATATAACTTCAAGGAGAAAACCTTTCTGATCTTACATTAAGCAAAGATTTTAAATGTTCTCATCACAAATAAATATGTGAGGTGATGGAAGTTAAATTAGCTTGATTTAATCATTTCACAATATATACATATATCAAAACATCACATTGTACTCCATGAATATACATAATTTTTGTCAATTAAAAAACGTCAATAATAATCAAATGAACAACGTCATTAAAAAAGATTTGATTTGGTCAAAAGATGTGAACAGACACATCACCAAAGAAATTTATAGAATGCACAACATCGTTAATCAGTAGTAAAGTGCAAATTAAAACCACAATGAGATACAATACACCTATCAGAATGGCTAAAATTAAAAAGTCTCATCATACCAAATATTGGCAAGAGTGTGACACAACTGGAATTCCCATACACTGCTAATGGGAATATAAAATGATATAATCTCTTTGAAAAACAGTTTGGCGCTTTCTTAAAAAGTTACACATCCAAACTATGTGTCCTAAGCATTCAACTCCTTGGTATTTATCCAGGACATGAAAGTATATGTCCACACCAAGGCCTTTATACACATCTTCATAGCAGCTTTATTTGTAAGAGGAAAAGTGAAAACAGCCCTAATGTCTATCGACAGGTGACTATATTAAAATATTGTTATATCTGTGTAATAGATTACTTGTAGTATACTGATATATACTACAATATGGACAAATCTCAAAAAAAAAAAAAAGTACAGAGTGAAAGAAGCTGGGCCTTCTCCCACTTAAAAAACAGTTTATACTGTATGATTCCATTTGTATGGAATTCTAGAAAACTCAAAGTAATCTGTAGTGACAGAAAGTAGATTAGAAGTTCCTTGGGCATGGGGGAGTGGGGTCAGTAGGAGGAAGTGGTTACAAAGGGTCATGTGAAAACCTTCGGGGGAGAAATGTTTTATACATATATATATACGCATACTTGATTTATCTTGATTGAGGTGATTTTTTATAGGTATATAGATATAAACTTATCAAATTGTATACTTTTAATGTGTACAACTTGTTGTGAATTAATTATACCTAGTAAAATGATTTAAAAAAAATAATGGGGAGAAAAAAACATTAGAGAGTGGGTCAGGAAATGTTAAATTCTCTGAGACTATCTCAGATTACCAGATACAAAGATGGTTGAACAGATACGTTTTCCTCTTGCCTCTACCAATGGACCACTCAAATGACAGTAAAAAAATGTTTTAAAAAATATAAACTTACATTTGCTAAGAGGGTATCTTAAATGTTCTCACTACAAGAAAATGATAAGTATGTGAGCTGATGATATGCTTGTGACATTCACTTCATGATATATATGTATATCAAAATGTTAAGATGTACACCACAAATATATGCAATTTTTATTTGTCAGTTATGCCTCAGTACAGCTCTAAAACGAGCCCAAAGACAAACAAAAAAAAAAGATATAAACATATGAAACATGCGCAACCAAAGAAAATGAAGAAGGAGAAAATAAAGGTTGAGAGCTTTAAAACAGATGAAGAAAGCTTAATCATAGCTGGAGGTAGAGAAAGCCGAGGAGCAGACTGCGACACTGCAGATCCCCAAAAGAGTATATATTGCCAGCACCAGCTGCCAGAACACAGGCAGCAGGCAAGAGAGAAAAGTCTTCTCTGGGGTATCACACCAGCCCATGAGAAAAGACCTAAAGAAAAACCTACAGAGAAGATCAGGCAACAGGCCACACTATGTACACAGAGTTTACTATGGACACTTAGTGCTTCATTCTCATATGATACGTCGTCAGTCATTTGGGAAAACATACAAATAATAGAACAGAAAGTGAAGGAGAGAGAAGTCAAAGAAATAATTCAAGAAAACTCCAAACAGAGGGATATGAGTTTCTAGATTGAAAGGCCCACTAAGCTTCCAGCACAATGGATGAAAATAGACTCTCCACAAGGCATAAAATTTTGAAAATTTTTGTGCCCTGGTTACAAAGAAAAGATTCTATAGTTGTCCATAAAGAAAAAAAAATAGTTTGTAAACAAATAATCAGCTCCTCAGTAGCACTAACCTCCTTTCAAGACCTGAAGAGCCATGTGTAGCTGATGACTGCCACATTGGGCAGCACGGTGCAGAAAGTTTCCATCACTGCAGACCATTCTACTGGGCAGCCCTTCTCTCAGTACCTCTGCTCCTGATTTAAAGTCGACTTGCCTTTCATCAGATTGTGTTTCCTACATACTTTCATGTTGGCCAGTTTTCCCTGTTACGTTTTTTGTTGTTTCATTGTAAGATAAGTACATATTTTCTTTTTATGGTGTGCACGTATCAACATCATTGTTTTCATTTTGTTTTGCAGTTGTTTTTTCAACAATGATATTTGGGACTATTACAAATCAAGATCTGCCTGTGATCAAGTGTGTTTTAATCAATCATAAGAACAATGATTCATCAGTGGGGAAGTCATCATCGTATCCCATGGTAAAGTAATGTTAAATGATAGCTTTAGTTATTTTTCTCTAGAGACCAACTTTGTAAGCTATTGAAACTCACCATGGTTAAATGGGCTTTTCTTTTCATGTATGTAAGTGTGTTATGTACTCACATCTGTGCAGGTGCAGCACCTATTCTGCTAGCTACCTGGCACTGCACTCCGTCAAGAACCATATTCTCCTTTGGATGTGGATTCAGAAAGGACATTGATACCTTGCATGAAGAAGTAATGAATATTTCCCTCTTTCCTCAAAGAGAATCCAGGCTTCTCTCCCAAGTCCCTAATTTCCAACAGCCTCCTGTATCTAAACAGATTTTCCATTTGCACAATAAAATCCACCTATGTAATTCATTTCATTTCTATTCCCCAAACCTACTCTTATTCTTGTATTACCTGGTTTCTGTTTATACCTCTGTCCAGTTCCCAGGCCTGAAAGCTCAGTGTTATTTTGGACTACTTTTTCCTCTCTTGGCTACGCATTTGGTCAGTTACCAAGTCTGTCAATTCCCTTTAATAGTTCTCATTTAATCTCCCCATGTTCTGTAGTCTCACTTCCACTTCCCTAATTCAAGCCCTCACAACTCTTCCATAATCACAGTGATATCTTAAGTGGCCTCTTCCTGCTATGTTCATCTCAGATAGGGCAGACTAGCCTTCCTGAAGCACAGTTTCCATCCTTCACTGCCTGGCTCAGAACCTTCAGTGACGTCTCATTGCTTAGAATGGCACCCAAATTGCTCCATAACCTGGCTCTGACTCCTTCAAATTACAACCTTGTTTTTCATTATTCCTTTTATGCTGTTCATCTAACAAAGCTATTTCCACCTCTCTACTTTTTTTAGTATTTAGTGAATTTACTTAAATTTAAGGAAGCTTAAATGATAGAGAACTGAAAATGTTAGACATCTGTATATAACAAAAAGTGGGCATAAGTTAACCAACGCCATGGACATTTCCAGTTAAGAATTCATACAAATATATGGTCATCCCGTTTCTTTGTTTGTTTTAACATAGGTATAACACATGATGGCCTGGCCAAGAAAAAGAAAAAGAAAAAATTAGGGATATTAGAGATATTCTCAAATTTTAAAAACAGTGTAACATAACACTTTCAATAACAACATTCTACATGAATGTAAAACCTCTGATTTAATACGTGATTTTTTTTCATGCCAGAAGCTTGGTTGGTTTTAATTTTAATAGATGTTAGTATCATAACACATTAGCTTATAAATAATTAAGGCATTTTGCAAACACAGTATTTCAGTGTGGACAAAAAAATTTGAATATTATTTGCTATGATATTATAAACTTCAGTGTCTTTTCAATATAAGAAAACAGCTGCACACATCTAAGTGTTTTCTTATAAAACATAATTTTTAAAAAATTTGGGCTAGCCACTTAGCTAACTTGGGAGAGCGTGGTGCTGGTAACACCAAGGTCAAGGGTTTGGATCACTGTACTGGCCAGTGCTCCCCTCCCTCCCCGCAAATTAGTGATGATTGGTCTTGGTTCCTAGTAATAAGTCCTGTGTCATTTTTTAATGTAGTATAAATTATATTTTTATGCAATAATCAGGATTGTACTAAGACCCAGTACCTCTTAAACCTCATTAAACAAATACGAGTCCTAGCTGCTGCGAGGATGAACGATCTTCACATGTACTTTCATCTCATTGAAGCTGAAGCTGTTCCTTTTGAATGTTTTCCCACTTCAATGTGAAGTAGATTGTTAAGGTTTCAGTGGTATTTTTTTAAAAAATGGTTTCGATTTCTTCCACAGTTCACAGTTCTCAGAAAAGTCATCTTTCTGGAAATCCAAGGGATGGACTACAAGTCCAGGGGTGTCTTGAATAAACGAGCACTCTTTAGTAGGCAAAACTTGTCAATGCAACTCCAGTAAATATGCATCTTCATCCTTAGCTATAGCACCACAATATCCTGGAACCAGAGTAAGGTGCTTTTACTGTTCCTAAGGTCTGCTTAACTGTTGTTTAAAATGTGAACATTTCCATCATTTATAATCTCTGTTTAGGATGATAGTTCTGATCACCCCTTTTTATGAAGGCTTAATGGCAATTTAGACCAAATTTGCTTTTAAGTAATGACTTCACTAGAGGCAACGTGTCTGCACAGCAACTGAGTGAGTTGTACGGCTTTTCTTCCTGTAAACTGTTAGTGAGCACAGGCGGGCAACTCACTACAACTCTAAAATTGCTTCTCCTTACCAAATAGTCTACGAGTTAACTTATTTTTCTCTTCCTCCAGAACATTAAAATTGCATTTAGAATCAGATTCCTCCTGAGCAGAACTTGAGCCCTTGCTTCCTGGTCCTGAGAAACCTAAACAAAACTAACTAGAACCAAAACCAAAACCCAAAATCCCCACTATATTTTAATGATGGATTTTCTGTTTGTCAAGAACCAGTCACTGGAGTTGACCAAATGTGTCTGACTCTCATGACATCATATTGCAGGCAGGCGGCCTGTACAAGCCACTTCTTTATTTGCTGTGCCATACCCCTCCACTTCTTGGGAACTTTTTTTTTCCTTCCTGTAACAAGGATTTGGAAAAGTATGCTTGACTCTCTCTACGCAATAGGTCACTTTACATAGTTTCTCTGGACTTTTCACAGCTTGTCTAACTGCTTTATTCATGTAAGCAGCCAATTGTGTTAGAGATTTCTTAAGTAATGTCACGTCCTTATTAGTCAGAGATCCTTGTTCTAAGAAAACCAATGGATTCATCCTCACTAATATTACAAAAGTTCCATTTTTTAAGCAGTTTGGGTTCTAGATGCCACAATATCTTATTAAATACCAGTGCCACATGGTACTGAGGGTCTCAGCCCAGCTGGGTGCAGAAGAACCCCTCCTGGCTGTTGTGAGCATCCTTGGGCTCCTGGCAGCATGACTCAGGGCTATTGACATGCCTTTGGCTTCTGGTGCCCCACCACCTCTGTACTTTCATCATGCAGTTCCTCTTTGCTGTGGTCTCTCCTCTGGGGCCTTCAGATTTGTATATCAAAATTGTACCCGTCTTCGGCCCAGCCCATGGCGCACTCGGGAGAGTGCGGCGCTGGGAGCGCAGCGACGCTCCCGCCGCGGGTTCNCCCTTACCGGTCACGAAAAAGACAAAAAAAAAAAAAAAAAAAAAAATTGTATCTGTCTTTAATTCTTTTAACTTTTTATTTTGAAAGAATTTGAGATTTATAGAAAAGTTGCAAAAATAGTATGGGGCAGGGGCTGGGAATGGGGAGATGTTGATTAAAGGGTACAAAGTTTCAGTTAAACATGAGGAACACTTGGAGAGCTATTGCACAGCATGGTGACTATGGTTAATAATGTATAGTTGATATTTGCTAAGAGAGTTGATTTTAAGTGTTCTCATCACAAAAAACTGTAAGGATGTGAGGTGATGGGTATGTTAATTACTTAATTTAATCATTCCACATTGTATGCATATATCAAAACACCACGTTGTACACCGTACATAAATACCATTTTTCATTTGTTCATTAAAAAAATAGAACAGAAAGTTTCTGTATACCCATCATCCAGCTTCCACTAATATTAACACCTTACATAACCACAGTACGGAAATCCAAACAAGGAAATTAACATTGGTATGATATTATTAACTAAACTACATTTCTAATTTGAATTTCACCAGTTTTTCCACTAGTATCCTTTTGCTGTTCCAGGATCTCTTATCCAGAATCCTGCATTGTATTTATATGTCATGTCTCTTTAGTCTCCTTCAATATATGACAGTTCCTCAGTGTTTCCTTATCTTTCATGACCTTGACATTTTAAAAAGTACTAGACAGATGTTTTATAGAATATCTCTCAATTCGGGTCTGTCTGATATTTTCTCAAAATGAGATTGAATTATGCATTTTTGGCAAGGATTTCCCAGATGTAACATTGTGTCCTTCTCAGTGCATCATATTAGCAGTTATAGGATGTCCATTAGTCTTGTTACTGGTGATGTAAACCTTGATCACTTAATTAGATAGCCTTGATTAAGATGGTGTGTGCCAGTTTTCTCCACAGTAAAGTTACTATTTTTTTCCCGTATTAGTTTGCTAGGTCTGTGTATTAGTTTGCTAGGTCTGTGTATTAGTTTGCTAGGTCTGTGTATTAGTTTGCTAGGTCTGTGTATTAGTTTGCTAGGTCTGTGTATTAGTTTGCTAGGTCTGTGTATTAGTTTGCTAGGTCTGTGTATTAGTTTGCTAGGTCTGTGTATTAGTTTGCTAGGTCTGTGTATTAGTTTGCTAGGTCTGTGTATTAGTTTGCTAGGTCTGTGTATTAGTTTGCTAGGTCTGTGTATTAGTTTGCTAGGTCTGTGTATTAGTTTGCTAGGTCTGTGTATTAGTTTGCTAGGTCTGTGTATTAGTTTGCTAGGTCTGTGTATTAGTTTGCTAGGTCTGTGTATTAGTTTGCTAGGTCTGTGTATTAGTTTGCTAGGTCTGTGTATTAGTTTGCTAGGTCTGTGTATTAGTTTGCTAGGTCTGTGTATTAGTTTGCTAGGTCTGTGTATTAGTTTGCTAGGTCTGTGTATTAGTTTGCTAGGTCTGTGTATTAGTTTGCTAGGTCTGTGTATTAGTTTGCTAGGTCTGTGTATTAGTTTGCTAGGTCTGTGTATTAGTTTGCTAGGTCTGTGTATTAGTTTGCTAGGTCTGTGTATTAGTTTGCTAGGTCTGTGTATTAGTTTGCTAGGTCTGTGTATTAGTTTGCTAGGTCTGTGTATTAGTTTGCTAGGTCTGTGTATTAGTTTGCTAGGTCTGTGTATTAGTTTGCTAGGTCTGTGTATTAGTTTGCTAGGTCTGTGTATTAGTTTGCTAGGTCTGTGTATTAGTTTGCTAGGTCTGTGTATTAGTTTGCTAGGTCTGTGTATTAGTTTGCTAGGTCTGTGTATTAGTTTGCTAGGTCTGTGTATTAGTTTGCTAGGTCTGTGTATTAGTTTGCTAGGTCTGTGTATTAGTTTGCTAGGTCTGTGTATTAGTTTGCTAGGTCTGTGTATTAGTTTGCTAGGTCTGTGTATTAGTTTGCTAGGTCTGTGTATTAGTTTGCTAGGTCTGTGTATTAGTTTGCTAGGTCTGTGTATTAGTTTGCTAGGTCTGTGTATTAGTTTGCTAGGTCTGTGTATTAGTTTGCTAGGTCTGTGTATTAGTTTGCTAGGTCTGTGTATTAGTTTGCTAGGTCTGTGTATTAGTTTGCTAGGTCTGTGTATTAGTTTGCTAGGTCTGTGTATTAGTTTGCTAGGTCTGTGTATTAGTTTGCTAGGTCTGTGTATTAGTTTGCTAGGTCTGTGTATTAGTTTGCTAGGTCTGTGTATTAGTTTGCTAGGTCTGTGTATTAGTTTGCTAGGTCTGTGTATTAGTTTGCTAGGTCTGTGTATTAGTTTGCTAGGTCTGTGTATTAGTTTGCTAGGTCTGTGTATTAGTTTGCTAGGTCTGTGTATTAGTTTGCTAGGTCTGTGTATTAGTTTGCTAGGTCTGTGTATTAGTTTGCTAGGTCTGTGTATTAGTTTGCTAGGTCTGTGTATTAGTTTGCTAGGTCTGTGTATTAGTTTGCTAGGTCTGTGTATTAGTTTGCTAGGTCTGTGTATTAGTTTGCTAGGTCTGTGTATTAGTTTGCTAGGTCTGTGTATTAGTTTGCTAGGTCTGTGTATTAGTTTGCTAGGTCTGTGTATTAGTTTGCTAGGTCTGTGTATTAGTTTGCTAGGTCTGTGTATTAGTTTGCTAGGTCTGTGTATTAGTTTGCTAGGTCTGTGTATTAGTTTGCTAGGTCTGTGTATTAGTTTGCTAGGTCTGTGTATTAGTTTGCTAGGTCTGTGTATTAGTTTGCTAGGTCTGTGTATTAGTTTGCTAGGTCTGTGTATTAGTTTGCTAGGTCTGTGTATTAGTTTGCTAGGTCTGTGTATTAGTTTGCTAGGTCTGTGTATTAGTTTGCTAGGTCTGTGTATTAGTTTGCTAGGTCTGTGTATTAGTTTGCTAGGTCTGTGTATTAGTTTGCTAGGTCTGTGTATTAGTTTGCTAGGTCTGTGTATTAGTTTGCTAGGTCTGTGTATTAGTTTGCTAGGTCTGTGTATTAGTTTGCTAGGTCTGTGTATTAGTTTGCTAGGTCTGTGTATTAGTTTGCTAGGTCTGTGTATTAGTTTGCTAGGTCTGTGTATTAGTTTGCTAGGTCTGTGTATTAGTTTGCTAGGTCTGTGTATTAGTTTGCTAGGTCTGTGTATTAGTTTGCTAGGTCTGTGTATTAGTTTGCTAGGTCTGTGTATTAGTTTGCTAGGTCTGTGTATTAGTTTGCTAGGTCTGTGTATTAGTTTGCTAGGTCTGTGTATTAGTTTGCTAGGTCTGTGTATTAGTTTGCTAGGTCTGTGTATTAGTTTGCTAGGTCTGTGTATTAGTTTGCTAGGTCTGTGTATTAGTTTGCTAGGTCTGTGTATTAGTTTGCTAGGTCTGTGTATTAGTTTGCTAGGTCTGTGTATTAGTTTGCTAGGTCTGTGTATTAGTTTGCTAGGTCTGTGTATTAGTTTGCTAGGTCTGTGTATTAGTTTGCTAGGTCTGTGTATTAGTTTGCTAGGTCTGTGTATTAGTTTGCTAGGTCTGTGTATTAGTTTGCTAGGTCTGTGTATTAGTTTGCTAGGTCTGTGTATTAGTTTGCTAGGTCTGTGTATTAGTTTGCTAGGTCTGTGTATTAGTTTGCTAGGTCTGTGTATTAGTTTGCTAGGTCTGTGTATTAGTTTGCTAGGTCTGTGTATTAGTTTGCTAGGTCTGTGTATTAGTTTGCTAGGTCTGTGTATTAGTTTGCTAGGTCTGTGTATTAGTTTGCTAGGTCTGTGTATTAGTTTGCTAGGTCTGTGTATTAGTTTGCTAGGTCTGTGTATTAGTTTGCTAGGTCTGTGTATTAGTTTGCTAGGTCTGTGTATTAGTTTGCTAGGTCTGTGTATTAGTTTGCTAGGTCTGTGTATTAGTTTGCTAGGTCTGTGTATTAGTTTGCTAGGTCTGTGTATTAGTTTGCTAGGTCTGTGTATTAGTTTGCTAGGGCTGCTGTTACAAAGTTCCACAGACTGGGTGACTTAAACAACAGAAATTTCTCATCTGATAAACAGTTCTGACGGCTATAAGTCCAAAATTACTGCGTAGTAGGCAGTGTTGGTTCCTTCTGAGGGCTGTGACAGAGACTGCTCCAGGCCCCTCTGCTTGGCTAGTAGATGGTCATCTTTGTGTTTACATGGCATTCTCCTTGTATGTGTTTCTTTTTTTCTTTTTTTTTTTTTTTGTCTTTTTATCTTTTTCCATGTCCGGCAACGGATCGCAACCCTCAGTGTTGCCCCCGTACCGGACCGGGGACCGGCAAAGGGATCGCAACCCTCGGTGCTGCTCCCGCGCCTCGCTCAGCCAGTGAGCGGGAACCGGTCTGTATGTGGGATCCAAACCCTCGGGTGGGAGCGCCGCCGCACTTCCCAAGCAGCGCACTATCCAGTGCACCACCAGGCCGGCCCACCTTGTATGTGTTTCTGTCTCCAGACTCCTCTTCTTATAGGGACACCAGTCGTATTGGATTAAGGCCACCCTAATAACTTCATTGTAACTTGATACCTCTGTAAAAATTTTATCTCCAAATAAGGTTACATTCTAAGGTATTGGGGACCTCAACATAGGAATTTGAGGGGCTGGGGATGGGGGAAACAATTCAACCTATAACAGTCTGTACAACATTTTAGAAATCCAGCCTAAAGTTATTTATCTTCTCTTTAGAGAATTATAAATTTATAGGATTTTCAGTCAATGCTGTATTCTCAATGGGTTTCAGGGTGTCATGTGTGCATGTATTTGATAAAGGTTTCCTGCTAAGCAGAGGATGCTATAAACATGCAATACTTGTAAATTCACATTGTTCTATCTACTACGTAGGTGTCAGAATCCCCAGAAGACCTTGGGTGCGTGCTGAGACCTGAGAGTGCCAGGGCAGTGTATGAAGCTGCGGCTGTGGAAGTGGACGCATCTGCGTCTGTCACACTGCAGGTGCTGGTCAGCATCCCAGGGAACATCTCCTGTCTCTGGGTCTTTAAACACAGCTCCCTGAATTGCCAGCCTCACTTTGATTTACAAAACAGGTAAGAGGGGCGATGTGCAGCCACCTGGATTTTTAGAGGAATACTTTCTTGCATAATATGTGGTTAATTTGGAATTCCTTTTCAAGTTTCTGCCCGTATTTATTATACCTCTTCTCTCCACTGAAATAACAAACCAAGAATATAGTTAGGGCATGGACACATGACTCAAATCCCATAGGATGTACAACACAAAAAGTGAACCCTGATGCAAACCATGGACTCTAATTAATAATAGTGTATTAATATTAGTTCACAGATTGTAACAAACATACCATACCTATGTAAAATGGTAATAATAGGGGAAACTGTGTGGAGGGAAGAGTGTTTATGAGATTTCCCTATACTTTCTGCTCAACTTTTCTGTAAATCTAAAACTGCTCTAAAAAATAAATTCTATTAATTTAAAATAATAATATATATAATTGTTATTATATTATTATATATTTTATATATAGCAATTATTATTATTATACGTATACACACACACACACACACACACACACAGAGCACACAATTATTATTAACCCTGCTCAGGGTTAAAACAAAAAAAAAGAAAAAGAAAAAAATGAACCATATAAAAAGAGAGAGAGAGAGAGAGAGAGAGAGAGGCTGGCAAAATGTAAAACAAATATTGAAAAGAATATTTGGGATTTTTAAAATTAATATTATTTTTTACATTCTATGATGTTGTTGCAGAGCAGTTGGGAGGGAGGGGGAGAGGAGAAAGGGGAAGGAAATGGGATGGAAGGAGGGAGGAGGAGGGGTGGGATTGAGGTCCTTGGCAACCCCTTCGTTCCCACAGGGGAGATCAGGGGGCTTCCAGTGGTGGCTAGGTCATTGGTGGGCTGGGTGCAGATGTCAGGGGTGTGTGGCAAAAGCCCTCGCCCCTCCCCCACCCAAGCTTGGGAACCCAGGGCATCCTTGCTGCGGCTCAGTGGTCATCTCTGGTCTGGTTGTGGGTGTTGGGGGGTGTGGCTGAGGCCCTCAGCTCCCTGCTGCACTGGCTTGGGAGAGCCTGGGGCACTTCCTGCAGTGGCTCAGTGGTCATCGCTGGGGGAGTTGTGCATGTCGGGGGGGTGTGACTGAGGCCTGAGGCCCCCACCCTCAGGACTGGTTGCTGGTGTCAGGGGGCATGGCTGAGGCCCCCGGCCCTCCCGCCTTTCTGGCTTGGTAGCCCAGGGGACTTCCAGTCTTTCTAGGTGTTATAGGTGTTCTTTGGTGAAGTGAGACCTTTACTAGTTAATATCAAACTTTGTGTCTGGTTGTGGGTACTTTGTTTTTTCTTTCAGTTTTGTGTTTGATTATTTGCTGTTCCCACCACTTAAACTCTGCACTGGAACTAATTTGTTGTCCTTTGCTTACTTCTAAAATGGGGGAACTTCCTGTGGGGGCCAGTACTTGAGCCTGTGGTTGAGCTAAATTGCTGCTTTGCTGCCAATTCCCTAGGAAAGGCCTTTTGTGCAGCTCAGGTTTTAATGGTTGACTTTATAGGTACTTCTGGCTCTTGGGAGATCTGGTGCACCCGGGTTGTGTAGAAACTCTGGTCTGGGACTGAGTTTTTTCATCAAACTTCATCCCGTGCTATTCTGCATTCCTGACCAGTCTCCTCTGAGTGGTCCTATGCTGATTGGGGTACAGATCAGCGGTCCTTGCTGTGCCCCAATGTTCCCCTGGTGGACCCATCTCCCCCACCACCCATGCTCCAAACACTTCCCATGGAACAGGCCATGTGCCAGTCCCTTGCGATGACTCACTGGCCTCTGAGTGGCTCCTTTTTTTTAGTTGTTGTGGCTTCTCACTCCTATATGGGTCCACGGGAACCCTATTAGTGGTCTTGCTGACCTGGGGGCCACCAGGCTCTCTTCTCCTGTTGCCGCCTCCATGCAACTTCATCCGAAGGGCAAGCTGCGGCTTTTGCCAGCTCCTGCTCCATGTGCTCAGCAGCTCCAGCCTGGAAGTGGCTGGGATTCAAAATGGTTGGAGCAATTTTTTCTTTCTCTCATCATGGCTTCTCTCACCTTCATGCACCCGGTAGGTCTCTCCTCCTCTTCCCCTGAGCTCTAGTGGCCCCAGCTTGGCTATTGTTGCTTTTTTATAGTTGTAAATTGGTTGATTTGTGGGAGAGAGTGACACTGGGGACCTTCTCTTCTGCCATCTTGACCGGAAGTCTATTTGTGATTTTTGAAGTATCTTTTTTCTTTAACTGGATATCTTGTTAAAGATAAAGTTAGAAAGTTTTCATTTCATTCTATTTTAAGTAGAAAAAAATTTCTCTCTGGGCAATGCTTCAGGAAAGAACATTTGGTTTTATCTATTTTGTTTCAAAACATGATAAGCAGAATTACAGTAGTATGTGATATCCACAAAATATTTTGGGAAGACATTGACTGACAATGTAAGGAACACTGGTCTCATTATGCAGAAAAATATCTTAGCCTAGATGCTTGGATAATGTCCAAACCTCTGTCTAACTCTATGCCACTTGCTGCCCCCTGCTGTCCTTGTCCTCTTGCTGAAACCAGATAGGGCAAAAGACACAGGCCATTTAAATGGCCACTGAGTAGTTCTAAGGCTGCCTTTTTTTTTTTTTTTAGTTCTTGGGGATGTCTGGTGCCCCATGGCTGTAGAGAAGGCATTGTCTTTCCAGGAACAATGCAGTAAATGCTCCCCAAATAGCCTGAAAGGGGTGTCATGCTCCCTAACTGAAGTATTGGAGAACATCTCTGTGACAGTCTTGTATCAATTATTTGCATTTGTTCTTTAAGGTCAAAGAAACTCTTCAGTAATTTTTGGGACAGTGGGTATAATTCTGAAGTTTAGTTCTAAACCTTGGATCACGTTCATTTTCCTTTCCTCTTCTGAGACTGTATTATTTCTGTTTTTCAATTACTTTTATCTTGGGGTTAATCCAAAGCTCTATTCTCTTAAGAATTTTGGCTTAAGGAAATGTTCTGGAAATCTTATTAAGATTTTATGCCACAACAGTTCTCACTGGATTGAGACCAAAAAACAGAGAAGTAGGATTCTCTTCACTCCGTAGATGCCGCCTTTGTTGCTCTAGGACAGGAAGTCCAGTTTGTTAGCCAAAGTCATGGTTCTCATACGGGTTAGTTACCAAAACATTTTCAGTGACTTTTTCACAGTAGAGAATGATAGAAATTTATATCTGGACTGTGACTTATAGGCGGAAAGATTGAACACCTAAGCTTTCAAGATTTCACAAATGACACTAGGAGAGCGAATGGTTTTGAGAAAGAAAGCACATCACCAGAACAGATCTGCAGAAGCAAATCAAACACACACCCTAGTGATTTGCTGTCTATGTGAACACAAGCACGTGTGCTCCAGAGCATGCTCCTTGATGCTCTAAAGCAGGGCTTCTCGAATACAACATGCATCTGGATTGCCTGGGGATCTTGTTAAAATGCAGATCCTGATTTAGTAGGTCCGAGTGGGGCCTGAGGTTCTGTATCTTTGTTAACTCCCAGCTACACTAACACTGTTGAAGAATGACCACACTTTGATCAGTAAGGGTCTAGGGTCAGAAAGTGTAAAATGAAATCCAACACCACTCCATAAACTGCTAGAGAGTACTTCTAGCTGTAATGATGAGAGTGGGTATCACCAAACACACATCAAAGTTGTCTCCTTGAAGAGAATGCTCCTAGCCAAATTTATTTCTACCAATTATCTGAAAAGTTTAAAATACTAACATTGAGACCCCTTTCTCCTTACATCTGTGTGATATTTAGTGTAATTATTACCTCAAAGGACAATGCCTTCTGTCAGATTTTGCTTGAATTCTTTCACTTAGAGAGACAGTGTATCTCACTTATACATTGATCTGGTTCTGCGAATGGGAAACTGAAGCTGGTGACCAGGTGACTGGACACATACGATCATGGAGGGTGCTTAGTTAATGGAAGGGAATGGAATGCCACTACCAAGGGGTGGCCCAGTAAGGCTGTGCATGTTTCGGATGGGAGTTTCCCTCTTAGGGGCTCGGAGAACACGAGATGATGGCGCTAGAATGGAGCTGACTCACTCTCAAGGGAGGGACCCGTTAAAAGTCAAGGTCAGACTAACAATGCTCAGGCCACGTGTTGGGCACATCCATGTCCTCTACAGAGCAGCCGTCCGTGCCACCATCAGGGAATGCGGGAGCCACCAAACCACCTTCTGAGTCAGTATGAAATTTTATGTTTTTAGTTTCACACATTTTCCAAAATGACCAGTTCTCTTTCCTGTTTTGCAGAGGAGTTGTCTCCATGGTCATTCTGAAAATGACAGAAACCCAAGCTGGAGAATACCTACTTTTTATTCAGAGTGAAGCTGCCAATTACACAATATTGTTTACAGTGAGTATAAGAAGTAAGTCCAGCTCTACTAGGTATTCACAGTATTCCACAGGAGTGGTTTAGAACTCGTTAGCTTGTGACCAGCTGCTCTAGTCACAGCACTCAGGTTTCCCTCAATATGTAGTTGAATTGATTGAATTCGCTTCAACCATCTGTATAACCTAGTGAGAACCTCTGGCATGTCCTGTGGACTCAGAATGAGAATGCTATTTTGAACCTGGGCCATCCTCTATTCAGGTCCCCCACTTTTCCAGTAACAGATGGCTGACAGGGAAGAAATGGAAAACAATTTGAATGTGGAATCAGAAAACCTGGGTTCTAATTCTGGTTCTGTACTTCCACCTTTGGCAGGTCACATAATCTCTCTGAGCCTCAATTTCCTTATCTGTAAAATGAGGATAAAAATATATACCTCACAGGATTATAAGGTCTCAGTGCGATCCCATAGAACTTTTGAGATGATGAAAATGTTCTTTATCTTCTCTGTCCAGTACAGTAGCTGCTGGCCACACATGGCTATTGAACACTTGAAATGTGGCTTGTGTGACTGAGGAACCAAAGTTTTAATTTTAATTTTAATGAGTTAAAAGTTGAATTTAAATAGCCACATGTAGCTTGCAGCTACTGTATTAGACAACACAGGTCTATACAAATGTCAGACCACACGTGGGCTATAAGGAACAATCCGCATGGTCCTACCAAGGGAGGCAGCAGTGCAGTTGGCAGTCACCCCCTGCAGATGCTTTGCAGCTTCTCTTTGCTTCGTCCCCACTTGCACAGAGGCAGTGCTGTGCACACTGAACATACTGCTTTAGCTTACCTGACTAATAAGCACTAAAAGAGCTGCTTTCACTTAGTTCCCCATGCTTTTGGGGGCAAGGGCAGTGCTCCACAAACTCTGGGCTTATGCTGCTTTAAATTAGGTTCTCAGGCTATGCATTGGTACAACTTGCCAGGCTCCCTCTTCCTTGTCAGTGACTCAAATGCACCCAGCCAAGGTGTGTGGTATGTGGGTGTCCAGCCACGGGGTGCCTCAGCCATCTTTTGCCGAAGGTGTTCTTCATGCATCACCTCAGATGCTTGCAACACACCTGCACTAACGTAGATGAGCAACAGACTGTTTGAGAGGTGCAGTCATGGGCACAGGTAGAGGCTGATTTAAGCCAGGTCTGCACTCTCTACACTACTCAACACTGGGTGTTGTGTGAGAGTGTGTGGTCTTGCAGTCAAAGCTAAAACAGACATGTCATCTTACTGGGATTGAGGGTGGGGTATTAAGTTCTAAAGTCAGTCTGTAAGGCAAAAATCGGGCGAAGTCAAAATTTGTCAAAATTTATTCTGGAAAACCCTTCAATTACTCTGAAATCAGTAGGTCCAAAGACCTGGAAGCTCAAAATTCGAGAGTTACTTTTAGCTGCTCTTTGGTTTTGGTCTTGTTCCTTGTCCCCTTCCCAGTCTCTCACTCCACTCTGTGGGACAGTTAAGTATGTGCTCTAGGTTGGAAGAGAATAAGAGATTTCTTGCTCTCTCTCTTCCTCTCTCTTGATCTTTCTTTCTCTCTCTTTTTTGCCAAGTATGTATAGTTGTATAAGAGAAGTGGGCATCTGCTGTGTCTCTGTTACATAAATGTACTTCAAAAATTTCATGGAAAGATTTGTATTATCTTTTAATTTTATCTTTCCACAAACTTTTTGAAGTACCCTCACATTTAGGGTACCTTCCTTTCACTTAAGATTTACCATGTAAAAATATAATAACAATCATTCAAGTAAATTGTAACATGTTTGCAGTATTTTGCTGGGTGCTGAAGTTCAAAAAAGAGATGGGAGAGACTTGACAACAGTCAGTGTGAAAGGGTTTAGAGAGTCAGGGAAAAGGGTTTAGTCAACTACAAGCTCAGTATTAACCAACAGTGTGGCGTGGTTGCTAAAAAAGTGAGTTTGAACCGTGGCGGTGTTCATGAAAATATAATATCTTGATTAAGAAAACGAGTACAAGATTATTATTTTTAATTATACATTTTTTTCAGATGAACGTTGACAAAATAGAGCTAGCTAGAAAGTGAAGAACTTGGAATTCTTTAAATTAGGAGAGCTGAAGGAATTGGGAATGTTTCACATGGAGAAGGAAATACTTTGAGGAGAGAAGGTTGATTGCAGTGTAATGCAGATGAAATTCTTCTGTGATTTGAGTAAGGAAACCTGGCCTAACTAGTTAAAGTACCTTGGATGGTAATTATTTACCTTGACCTCAGTTTTTGATTTTAAATATTGGAAGGATTTCCATGTGGAAACAAAGCTAGACTTTCAAAAAAATTGCTCTAGAAAGCAGAACTGGGACCAATGTTTCAAAATTACAGGGAGAAAAGGTAGAAAGCACCACAAAATGGGAAAAGATACTTGCAGTTCACAATCAACAAAGTATTAACAGTTGTAATATATAAAGAGCTTCTATAAATCAATAATAAGTAAACTAAACTAAACAAAAACCCAGTAGAAAAATGAGCAAAAGACATGAGTGGGCATTGCATTTTCATAATATAAAATCTAGATGGTCAATAAACACATGTTAAAAGATGAAATTAGGCACATTAAAGTTTTATGCACATTAGAATTTTAGAGGTTATTCAAGCAGACAGTGATTCATGAATCAGGCAGTGCCAGATGACAAGCAGTGCAGTTGGGCTCTACCAAGGGTATGTGAGGGAAAAACTTTTATAAGGTGTTTGCAGAAGCAAGACAAATAAAATATTTGATTGGCTAAAATGTAAAGTCCCTAGTTAGAAGTTAGTTGGCAGTTTTTGTTTGGTAGTCTCTAGTTAGAGGTTAGTTGGCAGTTTCTGATTGGTCAAGTGAAAAACTTTTATAAGGTGTTTGCAGAAGCAAGACAAATAAAATATTTGATTGGCTAAAATGGAAAGTCCCTAGTTAGAAGTTAGTTGGCAGTTTTTGTTTGGTAGTCTCTAGTTAGAGGTTAGTTGGCAGTTTCTGATTGGTCAAGCGTAAGTTTCATTTTATTGGGCCAGCCTGTGGCTCGCTTGGGAGAGTGCGGTGCTGACACCAGGTCAAGGGTTAAGATCCCCTTACCAGTCATCTTTAAAAAAAAAAAAAAAAAAAAAAAGTTTCATTTTATTGCTTACACTGAGTTGGATTTGGGTTTGCTTACGTAGGAATTCAAGGTGGGGGAACCTTCTCAGCCTAATGGCCTACCAATTAATTATGTTAATATATGTTAAGATAGAAATTGAGAGATCAAATTAAGACTCTAGTAAGATATTTTATACCCACTAGATTGTTGAAATTAAGTCTTGGTAAGTAAGTATATAGAGCAGTAGGCACTCCCATATCCTGCTGTGTAAGTGTAAGTTAGTGTAACCTCTCTGGAAAACAAAGTGTCATTTTGTGTAAAGCTGAACATGCTCATGCCATGTAAACCTGCATTTCCATTCTTATGTGCATTATTAAAGAAACAGTTACTCACGTGCCTCAGCAGAAATGAATGGAATGTTCATAGCACTTTGGTTGATAATACAAAAAATGGGAACAACTCATGCTCATGCCATGTAAACCTGCATTTCCATTCTTATGTGCATTATTAAAGAAACAGTTACACACGTGCCTCAGCAGAAATGAATGGAATGTTCATAGCACTTTGGTTGATAATACAAAAAATGGGAACAACTCAAATGTCCACTGCAAGAATATGAAAAAATAGATTGTGATATATTTGCCAATGAAATACTATGTAGTAGTAAAAACTAAATGAAGTATAGCTATGTGCAAAACCATGCATGAAACTTTAACATAAGGTTGGATGAAAAATGAAGCTGTGGAATCTACATATTTTGTGATACCATATTTTGAAGCTTAAAAACTTAACAAATCAGTATATTGTTTAGAGACACCCATCTGTGTGGTAAAACAATTTTTAAAAGTGCAAGAATGATAAACACAAAATTCACGATAAAGGTTACCTATGGTTGAGAGATGGTGAGAAGCACAAAAATGTATTAAAAAGTACATTCCAGTTATTAAGTTGAATAGTGGGCCATGGGTAATTGTTCTTACTATTATAATTCAAAATTTATACTTCATATATTCTTTCATATGTATATATCAAACAATACATAATATTTTAAAACTAAATTTATTATAAGGAGGGAGATTGGAATTCAGTATACGGAAACTTTCTTTAAAAAAGAGTTTCCAAAAAATTGGAATGATTTGCCCTGGGATGTAGTGAACTCCAGTCCCTAGAGATGTCCAGGCAGAAGTGGAAAGTCTATATGTTAATCACAGTTGGAAGTGAAGGATGGGGAAGGGGGGGGAGAGAGCAAGCATGTCTGCGTGTGTGTGTGCATGTGCGTGCGTGTGTGTGTGTGTGATGGTCCAGTGTGGATGGGAGGCTCAACTTAACCTCTAAATTCTGTTCCAGTTCTAACTCCATCCTACTGTATTTCTGCATTTCTAAATTTTAGTATATTTCTGCCTAGTTCAAGATAAAATTATGGGAATGTTGAGTTTTAAACTATATGTTAAATAAGGAAGGGCTTTAAGCTATATGTTATTGTTAATTTTCTTTTTCTTATACATATGTGTATTTTCACATGGCCTCACTCCCTGTACTTTAGTTATCTGTGGGTGTGTAAAATACCCTAAGAAATTGACCAAGAGGATACGTGTTAAAGTTGTTGTGGCAGCCAGAGTTCGTATATTGGCTGGGTGGGGGGAGCAGAAGACACTGCTGTGGTATTAACTATGAACTTTTCTTAGTGATGTAGAATTATTTTTTGACAGGGTTGCTAAGACAGTTATTTCTAAAATATTAAAATGTTAATAATTTTCGATGCTTTAGATACACTGCTTTACACATTACGAAGACCTTACTTTAAAAAAATGGAAAACCAGGATGCCCTGGTCTGCATATCCGAGAGTGTTCCAGAACCAATTGTGGAATGGCTGCTTTGCGATTCACAAGGCGAAAGGTATGACGTGTACAACGATAACTGCTGTTATTATTTTATTTTTTCGGTCTTTTCCCAATTTAGTTGGCATTAGACTGTAAGTAAAATCTAATTTAACCTCATTTAAACAGGAAACATTGGCTCCTTGAACTTAAAGAATGACTAGTATGGGCTTCACAGGAAGGGTGACGGGTGATTTTTTAGTAAAGGGGCCTTTTAGAACTCCTCAGGTCACCTGCAGCGTCCTCCCTGGGGCATTACAACTACACAGCAAAAAGCCCTTTTAAGTTACGGGATTGTTGGCTGCTTGAGCATCTGGGGAAAAAAGAAAGATGGATTTTAAAGTATAATTCCTTTATAAGTAAGAAATTTCCTGTGGCTAAATGTTTAATTTGTGATTATTCTGCTTATTCTGAAAAAAAGCAGCTTAATATGATTGTTTAAGGATATAGAATGTAGAGCCAGCTAGTCTGGGTTTGACCCCTGATTTGCTTACCGGCTGTGTGGCCTTGGACACGTTAATTAACCCCTGTACCTCATCAGGTAACAAGTACTCACCCTGTAGGATCGTTAGTATGATTCAATGAACTGATATATGTCCAGCACACAGAACAGTGCCTAACAGGTAGTGAGCATCGTATAAATGTTTACTTTTCTTTTTCATATGTGCCATCGCTAAGTTCTCACAACATGCAGTTGGAACTAATTAAAATTTACTTAACAACTTTTATTTAAAATGGGACTAAACAGAAGGAGAAAAAGTAAAAACCAGGTTACCAAATGATATGAATGTTATTTCAAATTTTAGAAGAAAAAGAGGTTACCTGTAGAAATATGTGTAACGTGTGCATGGAAGAAAAAAGATTGGAAAGATAACACACCAAAATATTAACAGCTGTTATCTTGGGGTGGTAGAAATATGGATAATTTAAGGTTCTTTTCTTTGGGTTTTTCTGTATTTTCCAAAATTTCTACAGTGAACTCAATTATTGTTGTCTTGTAATAAGAAAAAAATGACGCCTGGAAGGATCCCTAGACAAAGAAACGAATACATTTGGCTAAAGTAATAAAGAGGAGTGGGTGTCTCTACACAGACCCCAATCCATGACCCGCCTGCGGGGAAGGAACAGCTAGGGAGACTGTCACTGGAATCCAATGTCCACTTTCTGCTGAGGTGGGAGGAGGGGGTGGGACACCTCGGCTTTCCTCCTCCGTTTGCTGTGGGAACTCGGGTGACTTTTGCAGCTTCAGCTTCACTCCCTCTCACTGGGTGTCTGCTTCTGTGCTTGGGGGAAGAAGATGCCCTCCAGGTCAAGCTGCATGAAACCCCTTCCTACTTCTCTCCTCTCTTTTTTTTCTCTTTCTGTCTTCTTTCTCCATTCTTCCTTTCTTTCCCGGTTTTTAAATGACAACAACAAAAGAGGTCACCAAACACAAAAAATGTTAAACTGTCTTGTTATGTAATTCTCTCTAGTGTTATGCTAATTAGTTGAGATAATGAATTACTAGCCAGTTCCCTTAGGAACCCTTTGCTGAAACCAAACCTTTGGGTTTGTTTACCTTTTGACCGACTCTTTCCTTTGTTCTCTTGAAATGGGCTCTAGAACTTTTAACTCTGTTCTTCTCCTGAACATTCGTTTGTAATTTTAAAACATGTCTTGTCAATGGTGTTTATTTCCTAATTGTAGCTGTAAAGAAGAAAGTCCAGCTGTTGTTAAGAAGGAGGAAAAGGTACTTCATGAATTATTTGGAGCAGACATAAGGTGCTGTGCAAGAAATGAACTGGGCAGGGAATGTACCAGGCTGTTCACAATAGGTAACACTACAATATCATGTGCTGTTATTTTCAGTGACTATTCCTTAGAAACTAACTATCTGGGACTAACAGTAACTGCTTAGGTAATTATTCAGCTTCAGAAATTCTGTAGTGCCTTTATACCACTTTAAATGTAATATTATGGATTCTGTAAATGTTATTTTCTTCATAGAAGAGTAGCCAATCTCTAAAAGATTCTTTTATTGATGTGGTTAGTAACATTTGAGATGATGATAAAATCTTTGTTCTTCACAATTTTCAGGATACATTTCGTGATGAAGAAAAAAAGTCACTTTTTTCCCCCTTACTTGGTATGTTTTCATCTTCTAGATCTAAATCAAACTCCTCAGACCACACAGCCACAATTATATCTTAAAGTGGGGGAACCCTTGTGGATAAGGTGCAAAGCTGTTCATGTGAACCATAGGTTTGGGCTGAGCTGGGAATTAGAAAACAAAGCCCTCAAGGAGGTAATATGACAAGTTTATATTCTGAAAATGAAGGATGAACTAATAGCACAGGTTGAAAACATTAAATTCAAACTCTGTTTTATTAAAACCTAGGGCAGCTACTTTGAGATGAGTACCTATTCAACAAACAGAACTATGATACGGATTCTGTTTGCTTTTGTATCATCAGTGGGAAGAAATGACGCTGGATATTACACTTGTTCCTCCTCAAAGCATCCCAGTCAGTCCGCTTTGGTTACCATCCTAGGTAATGCAGGCTGCTCACACCTCTTTATTCATATTTTTAGTTGCTTTAGTGTGGAATGTGAGGTATGTAATCCAAACTCCAATTTCAATATAATGTTACTATCAAAAAGCTGAAAAAGGAACCGAGTTATTCTAACTGTACAAGCACTTAGATGCATTGAAATTTGGGTGGGCTAAGTGGGATTTGAAAATAACCACATTGAAGTAATCTCAGATTAGGCCGTAGCCTTCAGCCATAATGAAAATGCTAAGAAACGCAGTGATTCTCTTAGCAAACTGGTAAGAAAGTATTCCATGAGAAAGCCTTGTGAATATTGCCAGCCAGATTGCTTTCATTTGTGCCTTGAGATTATCTTATGTGGGACTCATCACTGAGAGAGTTGTTCTGGCTGAGAGCAAGCGTTTCCAGATTTTGTCAGGGGCTCCTAGTGTGTATGTGGTTAGCCACGAGTAGGGGAGCCCTTCAACCTTTTGAAATTGTCTGCAAAATCCATAGGTTTATTTCTACATTTCTTTGGGAAGAGAGTCAATTATTTATATCCCATTCTTAAAGGAATCTTAACTACAAAAGATTATGAGCTCAGGCTCAGAGCTGGGGAAAGGACTCCTATATTTCTTCTTGGCCTATCAAAACCAACCTGCAGCTTGCCAACATCTGCATTTTCTTGCATTAAATTGATGAATAAAAATTTATTTTATCATGTCAGTACATTTCCATATGAATCTCATTATCTAATTTATAATGCTTTTTTTTTTCAGAAAAGGGATTTATAAATGCTACCAATTCAAGGGAAGATTATGAAATTGACCAATATGAAGAGTTCTGTTTTTCTGTCAAGTTTAAAGCATACCCACAAATCAGATGCACATGGACCTTCTCTCGAAAATCATTTCCTTGTGAACAAAGTGGTCTTGATGATGGATACAGGTGAGATGACAGAGAGTGCTGAGACTTATTTTTAGCACAATTCTTCTTTCTCATTGCTCTTGAGAAGGGCAGTTTTGTGCTTATGGAAGTGAATTCACTTATTATGAGTTTATGTATTATTGAGTTGAAATTGGAGATGAGGAAATAGCAGATGTAAGGATACAGTAGCAGTCGTACAGTCACTTCAGACAGTATTACCTATGGCATGAAAACCAGAAAGAATTGTATTCATTTGAGTATGGTTCAGTGGCATTTTGAATCACAAGACTGTTACTTCCTACTTGAAAGTACTGTGCTATACTACACTGAGTCTCCCTCAGTATATTTACAGATGATTAAGGAAGTAAAACTCCTTAAAAACAGGAAAACATTACTTATAGGTGTATTGATTTAAGTTTTCAAAAATAAATGCAGAAATAGCCCGATGATAAGTGATGAAGGAAAATTTTGTTTTCCTGGGGATTTGTGCAACTGAATACAGGATTCTCTTATGGGAGGAATTCTTCATTACCTCTTTGCAAAACAAAAACTGTTTTCAAAAATAAATGCAGAAATAGCCCGATGATAAGTGATGAAGGAAAATTTTGTTTTCCTAGGGATTTGTGCAACTGAATACAGGATTCTCTTATGGGAGGAATTCTTCATTACCTCCTTGCAAAACAAAAACTAACTTCTCCCCTGTATCTTCTATAGCTATGATACCTCTTATTTCTTAATACTAATCCTATGTAACATGGCTTCAGGCTGGACTATGAGGGACCAAGAGGCATACACCGTCTCTCAATTGAGTCAGTGGTCTACAGCAAATCATTGTTTTTTAGCATGTGGTCCATAGACCAACTGTATAAGAATCATCTGGGCAAATGTTAAAAATGTGGACTCCTGGCCCCCATTCCAGACATGCTGAGTCAAAATTTAACAAAATGCCCAAATTCTGCATTTTTAATGAGAATCTTTGGTGATTCTTACCACAGGTCTAGATCTGTGCTGTCCAATAGAGTAGCCACATTTGGCTATTGAGAACTTGAAATGTATTATAAAAAGTTTCAAATTCACTAATGACCTGAAAGAATTATCAGTGAGCATCCTTTACCTAGATTCAACAATTTAATTGAACTGAATTTGGCTTGTGAAGTACAGTATTTTAATCATGTTTCAAGAGATGACTTTAGAGGCAAAGTCACATGAGTATTTTTAATCTGTAACTGAGAGGCCTACGCAATAACGCTACTCCTGAAAAAGTTTTGGTGTGGTCATAGCGTGTGTGCCAGAAGTCTCTTCGGCCTTCTCAGCTTCATTTCTCCAATTCACTTCCTCAAATATCATGCCAGAGTTTGTTAGGGCTTGCTTTACATGTTTGCCTTTTATTAAATTATAGCTTTTCAGCCGTCCTGATATCCTAGTCTTGATAAAAGTTTCCAGGATATTTCACCTATTAGTTTGCATAATTAACTACAAACACCAAATCTACCATAGCTTTTCTGAGTTTTGTGGTAAAAAAAAAATTTATTAGACTGTTTAAATTATTTAGTAACCTCTTCTGAAAGACTCTCCTTAGCCTTGACTAAGCCTTGTGTTTTCCTTCCCACTGAAATATTTAATTTCCCTACTCTACAAATGTAAGTTCTGTCCTTCACAGGCACTGACTGAGACTCACTGGGTAAACTGCAGTGTGGGAGTCATGGGGTTCTGGGTGAGGAGCCAGTGTCCTGCTCAGGAGAAGAATGGGCAAACAGAAAAGCAGTCTCTTAGTGTAGTGAGTGACATATGATTGCAGAAGCTTTCCGAGCCTGTGGGAGGCACTTTTTTTTTTTTTAAGTTTTTTTTTTGAAGGAGATGAGTCTTGAGTTTGTACAGAAAGGAGAGAGAAGATGGTTGGGTCTAGTGAAATACCACAAGCTCCCAACTGAATCCTGGCCCTGTTCACTTCTGCTGTTTGTGTTTTTTTAAGTTTTTTTTTTTGAAGGAGATGAGTCTTGAGTTTGTACAGAAAGGAGAGAGAAGATGGTTGGATCTAGTGAAATACCACAAGCTCCCAACTGAATCCTGGCCCTGTTCACTTCTGCTGTTTGTGACGGTGGTCCTGGCTCCTCTTCCTCCAGAGATGCCATTCAGTTTAAGTTATCAGCTACATCATATGAAACCACTCACTGAGAAGAAAAGACACTTCTTTGAGCTCTTGCTATGCACAGGACAATGTGCAAAGTCTTTTATGTGAATTATTTCATTTAATTTTCACAATCTCATATTATGAAATATGGAAACTCAGGTTAAATTACTTGCCCAATCACACAGGGCAAAGTCAATACCCTTTGTTCACTCCTGTTTTTTGAAATTGCTGTAAGTAAAGGAAAAAAAAAGGGCACCCTTAGTTCCACCTCCAGAGATAAGATTTCAGACTTCTTCTATGTAACCACCCTGATAGAAACATAAAATATAGATCTTTGTATAAACATGAAATTAATTGTGCCACTTGTGATTTGATTTTTCATTTAAAATATATGATGAATATCTTTTTATGTTAAGTATGTTATTATGTCGCATTATCATTTTCAATGGCTGCGTAGTATTCTACTTTTTAAAAGTTTTTATCTTAACTAACTCCTGTTGATAGGCATTGACTTTAGTTTTACTTTTTCCCTTGCATCTTTTTATTTTAATGTGATTTGTATGCTTACAGTATACCCCAGAATAAAGCTTCTAAATTTCTTTTTCATTCAAAATGACGACTGGTATTAATAAGCCTCATAATAATGATGATCTAACATGTATATTATGTTTACTATGTGCTAGGGAGTATTATAAGCCCTTTATACAAAAATGCTTTTTTTATTTTGAAAAATTTTCTCCCAACAACTATATGAGGTAGATTCTATTATTATCTTTGTTATACAGACAAGGAAATTGTGTCACAAAGAGGCTACTTTACTAGCCCAATTTCACACCTCCAGGCAGTGGCAGAATTGGGATTCCAACAGCAATTAGCTCCAAAGTCTGTGTTTTTAACCATTTCACTATATTGCTTCTTGAAACCAACTCATTTTCAAAGTGTGAGATTCTCAAACCCTGTGTATAAGAACACAGAAATACATACATGCTATTTAGTTATTTAAAAATAGAAGCATTTTTGGACCTTGTGAAATGCGTCATGCTTTGCCGTTGGGCCCAGGCTTGTCAGCTTTCCTGAAATCAAATACAAATGAACACGGTATTATACTTGTATGGTGAAGTATAAAATCATCAGCACATCTTCCCTGCCCCCAACTATCTTCATCTAACTCAGGGCAGGTATTTGAACAGATCAGATGCAACTTCAGCTAGGCTGTGCCTGGCCCCATGACTCTGCAGTCCAAGGTAGGGCCACCTGATCAGCTGTCTTTCAGTGCTTCGTAAAGCCACCTTCAAGCTTGCCAGCTCTTTGTTCTCCAGTTTCAGGAGCTCTCAGCTTCTCCAATACATGCTTTATTATTTTCTGCATTCTGATTTGACTTCAATAATCCCTTGCTGTATGAATAAAGCATTCTTTATAGTAAAATTACTCTTTGAGCCACTGGAAAGAACCTGCCCTTTCTCAACTCCTCCCCTCTAGGAGCTAAATGGAAAATAAAAGTGACCTGGCATTTCGATTACAGAGGAAAGAACCCTTTTCATAGTTATAATGAGAACACATCTGCTTAATCACCAAGACACTATTTCACTGTAAACTCAAATTTCCTGACCTCCTGTCTCATGCCAGCTGGCCAATTTTAGAAAAACCCTAGGGGAAAAGAGGAAGCCTTGAATCTCCCAGTCACCTAGTTGGTTAGTCGCCTTGGAATTCCCAGAGGTTCGGCAACTGTTGTTGCTAGGATAAACTGCCATAAACAGGAGAGAAAGCAGTTTAAAATTACCTGGATATCGATTTTGTGCTCTGGCTGTTTATGTGACCAATTTTCTACCTGAAAATTATTCAGAAGAATGAAAATATTTCAGGTGCTATTTCATTGAAACAGTGGCAAATCCCACTCCATTAAGAAAGAATGAAAGACTGAAAAGGAAAAAAGTTTACGAAACATTTCGCTTTGGTCTGCATGATGATAAATGGTTGTATCGGTCATTTCTTTTCCACCAGATTGACTGGTGCTTTGGCATGGTGTCTGGCTAGCCAACATAGTTCTCTTCCTCTCTTCTTCCTTTTTAGGGTTTCTGGCCACTGTCCAGAGAGAATTGCATTTTCCATTTTAGAAGATCCCATCTTTCTTTTCTTGGACTGCTTCAGCTCTGCCTTCCTAAAGCCTGGAATCTCATGTGGCTGTGTCTCCTCTTATGCTCCCTAGGGTCATACTTTGGCTTTCCCCACCATCTTTCTGTCACTTCCACTTCACCTGCCATTTCCTCCTTGTCCAGAAGTAGGTCGGGATAAGAAATTCCCCTTTTTACATCTTCAGCCTTCTTGTTAACAAAGCAAATAAAAACTACACGGAGTTGGTAGGTTGCGGGTTGGGCCAGAAATCATGCATTTCCAACAAGTTCCCAGATGACACTGTGGTGATGCTGATCTGCTTGTCAGTGCACCACCCTTTGAGTGGCAAGTGTCTAGAATACAGACATCTCCTTGTCCAGTAAACTTTAACGAGTAGAGAGAGTTTCAAGGAAGACTCCTCCCATTCACACTTGTTCGTTGTAGTATCTCCTGCAGGAATCAAGCTAAGTCTGTCTTTAATTCTTTCTCAAACAGCATATCTAAGTTTTGCAACCATAAACACCAGCCAGGAGAATATATATTCCATGCAGGAAATGATGACGCTCAATTCACCAAAAGGTTCACGCTGAACATAAGAAGTAAGTTAAATTGCCAAGAATTTAATTTTTTATCTTATAACTCCTGAATTCTTTATTAATCTCAATCAGCAAGAGCTTAAAGTAATGGAGTAATGGCTTAGAAAGGATGTTACAAAACTGTTTTTGTATGCTGAAATGTTTTGAAATTTTACTCTCATATCTACTGGCTTTAGTTACATATACCTCCTTCTGTGTTTATCCTCAGAAACTAATTTCATATCCTCTCTGAATGTGCTTTAGTGTTGTAACTTTATTACATTTAGTACTTTGAAAGGTTATGTTAAAAGAAGGCTGACAATCATAGTACCTGCTGTTTGTTTTAGTAATTTTCATTTCTGTGGTCTATAAAAGGACAGGAATACATTTCACTGGACTTTTTTCAGACACTTCTTCTGAAGCTAAGAATTGTTTTGAGGTTCACAGATAGATGGAGGTCTACACCTCAGCTCTCTACGGCAGAAGCCCAGCAGTGGAAAAGTGGTGCTCCGTGGAGCGGTGTTAAGTGATAGGAAGGTTACATGGCAAAAGGGAAAGAGGGAATAACCAGGGATCTTGAGGCATCTCGAATGAGAGGCCCTCCCCGCCCTGGAGTAAATGGGCAGCCGACACTGAAGGCAACTTTGAAATCATTTCCGGCAAGTTCCATACTCCATGAGCTCAGTTTACATGTTATTTTCTGCAGGGAAACCTCAAGTGCTCGCCGAGGCATCCGCGAGCCAGGCGTCTTGTTCCTCGGATGGATACCCATTACCATCTTGGACCTGGAAGAAGTGTTCAGACAAGTTTCCCAAGTAATAAGGACATTGACATCTCTTGTAATGGAAGGACATAAAACTCACTCGCCTGTTGACTCTTTTTCGTGAATACAGTTTAAGAAGAAATGAGGAAATGTTTAAAATGCTTACCTTCTGAATCAACCATACTTCTCAGTGGTCATAGATGGTCTCTGATAACTTACAATAGATGAATTTCTTTTAGAACTCACTACAGAAGCCCTAATTTCCAGTCTGACAACAGCCCCAACCATCTAACTTCTCTGTCTTTCATGTCTTTTCAGCTGCACAGAAGAAATCACAGAAGGCGTTTGGAATAAAAAGGCTAACAGAAAAGTGTTCGGACAGTGGATTTCAAGCAGTATCCTAAACATGAGTGAGGCTGTGAAAGGGCTCCTGGTCAAGTGCTGCGCATACAATTCTGTTGGCATATCTTGTGAAACAATCCTTTTAAACTCACCAGGTATCCAGCAGTCGCTATTGTAATACTCCACCATCAGGAATTCCCCTCTAGAAGTTAGTCCCTGTCGCTGGCTTTTATTTGGGGTATTTTACAAGAGAGGGTAGGTTCAGTGTGTGAGAAGAGAAGGCTTTTTGAGTCAGGCAAGAATCCCCACTAACACGTACTGTTTTGCGGTTTGGGGCAGAGTTCTAGATATGTTGTTACGACTCACGAGTTATAGCAATGTGGGGAACAGTTAACTCCCTGTGTAATGAATATTGACCCAAATATCCAATGCTGGAGAAACAGATTTATTAATTTGGAGTCTCTATCATTTTCCCTTTTGATTAATCTCCCTATATGCCTTTAGCCTGCTGTTTTGTAATTTGGGGTTTGTTTTTGAGAGCCCTCCTGAGTTAAACAATTCTGAAACCTGGCCCACCTACGGTAATAGTTTAGAATCATCAGCATCAGAAAACTAACTTCCCCACATTCATATGATATCTTCATAGAAGAAACACGACCATCTTCTTTATCTGAATCATACATCCTGTGGTTTTAAATAGATGCAATTCTTATAACCCTAGCAGATGATTTTTAAAAAATGGGTTCAGAATTATTTAAAAATTTCTAGACAGGAAACTTGTCCTTTTGCCAGATTTTCCATAGGGAGTGGAGGATACATAGAGTGCTTGTAGGTAGGGACTGAGAATGAGGGTTACTCACACAGGCCATGAGAGACGGTAATGAGGGTCTGAAGTTTGTAATACCAGCTGTCTCGTTGCTCATGACACCCTTCTGTTGCAGGCCCCTTCCCTTTCATCCAAGACAACATCTCATTCTATGCAACAATTGGGCTTTGTCTCCCCTTCATTGTTGTTTTAACCATGCTAATCTGTCACAAGTACAAAAAGGTAACAGCAGAGGACAAAATTCATTATTGTTTCCTCCATCTGCAGAACTGCCTTTTCCTAACTGTCTCATTATTTCACCTCTGAAGCAATTTAGGTATGAAAGCCAGCTGCAGATGGTGCAGGTGACCGGCTCGTTGGACAATGAGTACTTCTACATTGATTTCAGAGAATATGAATATGATCTCAAGTGGGAGTTTCCAAGAGAAAACTTAGAGTTTGGTAAGAATTGAATGTTCCCAGTGTTTTTGTGGCATTCCTTTTCTGTTGGAAAATCTTTAAAATGTATGTACTCACCTTTTATCTTTGCAGGGAAGGTACTAGGATCAGGTGCTTTTGGAAAAGTGATGAATGCAACAGCGTATGGAATTAGTAAAACAGGAGTCTCAATCCAGGTCGCAGTCAAAATGCTGAAAGGTACAGTACAGTGGAATGATGTTGACCGAGATGCACAAAGATGGGAGGCACAGTTTTCCATCTACCCTTTCTCACCTTTTCTATCGTTTCTATGGTTACTGTTTGCCATGCTTCAAAGCTGAAAAGGGAGCAGGTTGGGGTTAGTGTCAACCACGTCGTGAACACAAAACTCGACCTCATCTTCCTCTTCTCTCTTAGAGTTTAGTTTTCATTGGTTTCAGTACTAAGGATACAGTTGCTGCAGGCAGAAGTTGTTTCTTGCATTTTGACGTAGACCGGGGGTAGAAGAGCAAATTGAGGCCCTCTGTGTCCTCACTTCCCACTCGCCGCTCCGTCCACTCCACTCTGGCACCCTTGCCCATCCCGTCCCCTCCCACCACTCACTGAGCAAGTGCACCCCCAGCTGGCTCTCTTCCTGAGATGAACAGTGGCTTCCAACCAAGTCCAATGGGCATTTTTTAGTCCTCGTGTTACTTGATTTTTCTGCATAAATTGACACTATCAACTATTCTTGCAGTCTAGAAATGCTTTCTTCCTTTGGTGTCCAGTCACCATATTCCTCTGGCTTTCCTCCTACCTCTCTGGCTGCTTCTCAGTGCTTTGCTGGCTCACCCTTGTCTACGCAGCTTTTATGCGGAGTCCTGTAGTCTTGTTCCTGGACCTCCTTCCATGCTCACTACACACACTCACCATATTCGATCTTGAACACACATGTGGCTTCATCCTGTGTACCCATGGTTCTCGTGATTGCATCTTCCTTCTGAGCTTCACATTCATATGTTCAAGTGCTTGGATGTTCAACAGTCCTTTTAAGTCAGCTTTTTCAAGCTGAATTCTCCTAATCCCAGCCCTCCATCAGCACTCCCTCTCTCAGTGATTGATGCCAATGAATAGCCACATTCCACACAATCAGGCAAACCAGAAACTAGGGCTCTTCTTCAACACTGTGCTCTAACACGCTGTAAACTATTTCTGTCAGGTTTCCTGCTTAGTCTCTCGAGTCCATCCTCTTCTCTCTATGTCTATTACTACCACCCTAGTCCAAGTCTGTCCTGAACAGCCGCTGTAGCCTCCAAAGCAGGCACCCTCTATCTACTCTTACCTCCTTTCGGGTTCTCTGTGCTGAAGTTCAAGTGATGCTTATGAGATGCAAAGCAGATCATACTGTTTTTTTACTTAACATTGCCAGTGGCTTTTGATCACTCTTAAATGGACGACCCAGCCTTGCATGATTTGGCTGCTGCCACCCCCTTGCCTCCCACTGTCAGCACACCAGCATGCCGGACTCCTTTCACTTCCTCCAGAGCACATGTTCCCTTCTACCTCAGGGCCTTTGCACAGGCGGATCCTTCTGCTCACCCTTCCCCTTTCACTTAGGCATCTCCTACTCCTCCTTCAGATCTCAGCTGAAATATCGCTTCCTCAGGGAAGCCTTCTCCCACATCACAGAAGAGACTGAGTCCCTTCCAATACGTTACCTTAGCTCTCTGTAGGTTTTTTCCCATATAACTTTTCACAATTGTAATTGCATATTTGCTTAATTGTCTTACCTGCCGCATTTGTCTGTAAGCCTTCCAAGGTGGGATCTGCACTGCTCTGCAGAGCTGTTGCTTTCTCCACCTTTGCCCATTCCATTATCATGCAGCGAGCCTCTGCCCTCCAGCTCCCCACACCATGTATTCACCTGGTAGCTCTTACGTTTCTTCAGGTCTCAGGTTAGACATTTGATGTCCCCTTCACCATTCATCCAAGGCTAAGTTAGCTGTCCCTTTTGTGTGACTCTGCAGAAGCCCTGCATTCACTTGCCACATTGTGTCTATCACGCTGTATTGTAGTGGCTTATTCACTCACCTCCCTTTTCTAGGACACTCTAAGCTCCAGGAAGACCAGGGCTGTTTCTTGTCTATTTTTCATTCCCCAATGCCTGGCACCATGCCTCATACACTCAATAAATACTTGCTGGATGAATGAATGAAAGAGGTAATGGTATATGAAAGTGCTTTGAAAAAGTTAAGCATGCCATAAAATGTAAGATTTTATTTTGGTCATAAAGAACAAGACATGGATAGTTGAAAGCCTCAAATCCCTGTAAATCATGAAGCAGCTGAAAATATGATGTGCTAGTGGGTCCCAGCACACACAGCAAAGGGTCCCACTCCTAAGCTGAGATTTTGGATACCCCTGAGAGCTCACTCAAGTCAAAATAGATGGTATTGACATTCCAGAAAAATAATCATAAAGGCTGGGATGTCTTCCAAGACAAGATAATGGGACCTTGAAATCTAATGAAATCTTCACTGAATGTAAAGAAAAGTTACTATGTCTGTAAGAAAGAATATGTTAAAGAGGGGTGGGTGGAGTCTGGAGAGGAAAGTCCAGTGACTCTGGCCTTGTCCTGGGGGCTCCAACACACACATGGGGCAGGGGTGCCCTGACCAGCTGCACGTCAGCCTCAGTGTCAGGAGCCCTTAGGGCTCATTGCTGTGCTTCTGAGCAGGTTGTGAGTGCAGTTTGCCAGGCTATCTAGACTTTTCTCTAGGGAGAGGATGCATTGGCCAACTGATACATTCTAGCCTGTTTGGCAGTTATATTTCTCATTATCAATTAATAAGTCTCTTGAGAATGTGGTTATTGACCTCCTCTCATTGGACTTACTGACAAATGTAAGGTTGTAGACCTGAGGGCCACAGGCTGGAGGCAACCAGCCTTGCTGACACTCCTATCTTGTCTCCCTCTGACTTCAGCAGATCCAAGATTCAAGAAAAAAAAATGATGTTTTCCCCTTCATCATACCTGTTAACTTCTACTGTGGAGGAAACTCATGTGTTGTTATTATTATTATTATTTTTTTTTTGTTTCGAGGATTTTTATTTTGGTAGGTAGAAGAAAGTCCAGTAGAAAGGCACATTATTAGGTTTAGCTTTTATACCACAATCTTTGAAATTCTGTCTTAAAACACAGAATATTATTATCCAAAATTCACGTATTATTTTTATGTCTGTTTTTTCTTATGGTTTTGAATTTACATCAATAATGCAAATCGGCTCTAAATTGAGGAAATTTTAATTGATTAAATATCATAAAATTCATATTTTCCCTGGGTTTTACATTTTTTTAATGCTCCTCCATTGACAGAAAAAGCAGACAGTTCTGAAAAAGAGGCGCTCATGTCAGAACTCAAAATGATGACTCACCTGGGAAACCATGAGAATATTGTGAACTTGCTGGGGGCATGCACACTGTCAGGTAATCGATTTCCACTAAAAACACCTAATCAAAAATATTTTAGCTGGAAGACAAAGAGCACGTTTGTCTTCTCTTTTTCTCTCTCTCTCTTCTCAGTCACAGAGTGGGCTCTGAAACCCAAGTGGAATTTGATATTGAGCACTCTGTAAGTCAGATGGGTCGTTATAAAGAACGCCTCTCTTTGACCCCATCAGTTGGGATATATCACATAATTCTGACCTGCTTAAGACGACAGCAACACTGCAAGTGCCCTGTGTGGCATCTGTACTTCTCCCTCAGCTGCAAGGCTGGCATCAATGCAGGGGCAAGAACAGCCACGGAGCTTGGCCACTCTCCCTGTTGGGCAGCCTTCAAATGAGGCCAAGGTTGGGGGGTCAGACCTTATTTTCCCAGAATTCTCTGGACATGCTCTCTGTTTCTGCCTAGAAACACCCAAGCAATGTGCCCAAGGTCATTCCTTCTGGAACAGCAGGTGTGGGGCTGGGACTAAAGGTAGAGAAAAATGGATCTAAGAGAGTATTGGGACTATATTTCTCCCTCTTCAGGCAAACAACAAATCAGCATATATTTACCAAGTGTTCACAAAATGTCTAGTATATTGTGCTCTGTTGCAAACTGGAGAATCCAGCATGCCAGTGGTATGAGTGAAGCCATGTGTACAACCAGGGTCAAGGAGAAAGGCAAGGAGATCCTGCTTTCCCAAAGAGTTTGAGCAAAAAGCTGAAACTGATCTTAAAGTATAAGAAGAGATGAGCTTAGAAAAAGTTGTACTCTCCCAAAGTCAGGGGAAACCCGAGCTCTCATAGAGTATGTTGTAAGCTGCACAGATGTCTGAAAAAACAACTTGGTGTTTGTATTCCTGTAATTAAAACTGTAACTATTTCAGGACCAATTTACCTGATTTTTGAATATTGTTGCTATGGTGATCTTCTCAACTATCTAAGAAGTAAAAGAGAAAAATTTCACAGGACATGGACGGAGATTTTCAAGGAACACAATTTCAGTTTTTACCCCCCTTTCCAATCAAATCCAAATTCCAGGTAAGAGGCTGGGTCAGGTCTCATAATTAAACACCATGGAACATGGACAAAGTGTGATGGTGAAACACCCCCACTACAAGTTTCTAAAGGCAGTGTGTGGTCTTTGGGTCCTAAGACCTGGAAAAATCCTCTGTCTTTTCTATTATTTCCCTGTTGATCTGGAACAATGAAACTTTTCCCTTTCCTTCGGTACAGGTATTATAGTCCCACCTGTGCCTAAATCACACCCTAGATACATGTTTGGTTTTGAGAAAGGTGAATTAGTTAATCTTTCAAGACTCTTCCTTGCCACAAAGGTATTGGTAGAAGAATGAAGACTTTTTCTTTTCTTTCTTTTTTTTTTTTTTGTCTTTCTTCGTGTCCGGCAACGGATCGCAACCCTCAGTGTCGCGCCCGTACCAGACCGGGACCGGCAATGGGATCGCAACCCTCGGTGTTGCGCCCACACCTCGCTCAGCCAGTGAGCGGGAACCGGTCTGTATGTGGGATCCGAACCCTCGGCGGGAGTGCCGCCATGCTCCCAAGCGGCGCACTGTAGCAGTGCGCCACCGGGCCGGCCCCGAAGACTTTTTCCAATGTCCTTGACATATTCATAGAGAACACCCCAGATCCTGGGGCTATTGCAAAAAAGATCTCTAAACTCCTAAATTGGATTTTAAAATATTAGGATGGATCAATTGACATGTGATTATGAGGACAAAATAAAGTAATGCTAGCTTGTCTCTGTGCTCTGCAAAGTATATTCTGCCACTTGTGGGGATCCTGAGTGATACTGGGTCCTGTTGGGATTTTATTATTTTAGCATGCATGAATGAAGGCTTTAGGAATTTGGTGGGATGCTTCTCCTCATGCTTGAAATTTCTTGCTAATTATTTGAGCATCATAGACTTATAGTACCTTTCTCTGAACGGATTCACAGGCATTCTGACAGAATAATTCCTCCAACCACAGTGCATCCCTTTGTCCCTGCATATGTGAAAGCTCTCCCTTATTCCGAAGGCATATTTGTTTGTCACAGACTTTATCTTTACTTTGGGGATGTGTTTGAGATTCCCAGCTTTGTTTTCTTAGAATGTAAGATCAGAGGGCCAGTCCATGGCTCACTTGGGAGAGTGTGGTGCTGATAACACCAAGTCTAGGGTTAAGATCCCCTTACCAGTCATCTTAAAAAAAAAGAATGTAAGATCAGTACAGGTCTTTGGCCTTCAAGGTCTGAGACAGAACCAGCAAGACCTTAAGGCCCCACAGAGGTATCCATGCATGTCTGTGTGCAGTTACCCTTAACTGGTTCATATCCATCACACCGATCCTCCCCTTTACACTTACTTTTCAGTTCAAATTCTAGAACTGAGAAAATTCTATAATGTCATTCATATGCTAGAACAGAGAGTCTATCCTAATGAGTCAGATGTGTGTGATCAGCACTCCATGTTCAGTAATTAGTCTCTTTAACTCATTCTGGTCATTGGGGTATTAAATACCCTGAAGCAATTAATTTTGGAATATTTTTGATCTGAAAGCATTAAGTCATTTTCCAAAGATATGGAAATTGTAAATTGAAACATGATCTATTTATACTTGGTACAGAACTCCTCAGTGAAGACTTCTATATTATATACCTTAAAAGAGATTTTTATCATTCCTATTTATTAATTTCACAGTAAAAGGAAATGAGCTTTATAAAGGCAAACTTGAAAAAAGAAGGATGGTAAAACGCTTACAGGTCTCTATAGAGGATCTGTATTAACATGAGCTTTTAAAGGGAAAGTGGGCTGAGGTTGGAAACTGCAGAATGACATGTGAGCCCTAGTTCTACTCTTTATGAGCTTTGAGATATCAGCAAACCATATTGATCTCCCTGAACCTAATTTCTCTTATAAAATGTGACTTTAACACTCAGCTAGTGGGTTGTGGCAAAGATTGGGTGAGGTCCTTTTTGAACTGTAAGACTCTATACAGATAACAGGGATCATGCTTATCCTAATTAGACTGGCAAGCCCATTTACACAGATGTTTTTGATACCCACAAAAAATGGGCAAATTGATGGCGTTGCTTTTAATTTAAAAGCCCATTTATGACTGGGATCCATTTCTTTAATGAATTGTGTTTTCTTAATAAAATGTCTGCTCAGGAGAAGAATGTAAATAATGAAAAAAAAATTTTTTTTTAATAGTATGCCTGGTTCAAGAGAAGTTCAAATACACCAGGACTCGGATCAGATCTCAGGGTTCAATGGGAATTCATTCCATTCTGAAGGTAATATTTTATTCAAATTAGTAGCACTTTAAAACAGAAATGGATACAAGAGTTTGTGTTAGCTATTTTTTAAAAGTATATAAGTGCAAAAGCATTTTTTTCTTTACTAATGTTCATGATAGGCTTTATTAATGCATATTTACTTTAAAGGTAGTTAAAAGCCAACAGCTGATATATTGTGAATTTTATGCCAATGTTTAGCTAGTAGACACTGAGGATTACTTTATTTGGTCAAGTTATTCTTTTTAAAGCCATAAATTAATTAGAGCCACCTTATTACCTGATAAATGGAAAAGATGATGAGTTCTGGAGTCAGACAGAAGTTGAGTTAACTTCTGGTTCCTTCACTTTCTGGCTGGGTGACTTTGGACAAGTTATTCCTAAAATGGGCCTACCGGTGTCTTCCTTGCAGGGCTGTTGGAAGGAGTACGTGGAAGAACTCAGGTGCAATACGGTTCATAAAATGTGGTAGACATTGATTAAGGTTAATTCCTTTTCCAATGTGACAAAACTTCCTCCTACAGAAAAAGGGCATCTAAAACTCCTGACTAGCTGGAGGCCACCTACTGTCACAGAAGCTAGGGAATTTATCTGTAACCAAAAAGAACCTTTCTGTGACCCTTCCTAGGCTATACACTTGTCACCATAAACAGGTCAGCTCTTGTGCTGCCTGGAAAATGATGTGACAGCTTCATGTACACATCCTGGCACCTCACCTAAGTCTGGCTTTAATGACCTTGCATGGAGGTTTTTGTGTGTTTGTTTTGCTGCCTGGTACAGGGATCAAACCCTGGACCTTGGTGTTATCAGCACCTGCTCTAACCAACTGAGCTAACCAGCCAGACTTCATAGAGATTTATTAAGACAACTTCTCAGGGTTTTGACAAAAGTGAAGACCAGCTCTGTTTTACAGATGAAACTGAATATGAAAACCAAAAAAGACTGGAAGAAGAAGAGGATTTGAATGTGCTTACATTTGAAGATCTTCTATGCTTTGCATATCAAGTTGCCAAAGGAATGGAATTTCTGGAATTTAAGTCGGTGAGCTCCTTTTAAAGAAAAAAACAAATTAAAAAAAAAAGATAAAATGGTAATTAAGAGAAAGATGTGCTTACATACTTTTTCTTGTTTATTTTAACTTGTATCCCTTAAAGTCCACCTTTTTTCCCCTGTTCACTGTAGGAGTCACCTAGAATGTTACCTTGGCTCTTGGATAATTGTAGTATAAAGGCCCAAATTCTTTATTAATAATGGTTAGCATAGCCCTCCAAGGCTGTCCAGAAGTTCCCTGACACTTCCAGAGCAGAAGGTCAAGATAGGAAGAATATGGAAATACCTCCTCAAAACCAAGTATAGCCTGGTCAGTCCCTGTATTAGTCTGTTTCTGTTGCTTATAACAGAATACCTGTAACTAGTAATTTGTAAAGAAATAGAGTATTTATTGCTTACACTTTTGGAGACTGAGAAGTCCAAAGTCCAGGGAACACATCTGGTGAGGGCCTTGGTGGTGGTGATTCTACAGAGATGCAGGATATCACATGGCGATTATGGCAGGAGCAGAGAGAGAGAGAGCACTCCTCGCGTGCTCTTTTTAAAGCCCTCCCAGCCACACCCATGACCACCATTAAACCATCAAGTGGATCAATCCACTCACTAGGGCATGGTCCTCACAATCTAATCACCTCTTCACGGCTCCACCTTTCAATTACCATAATAGCATTTTCCACCTTCTTAACACTGTCACGTGGGGGTTAAGTTTCTAATACCTGGAACTTTGGGGGACACAATTCAATCCATAGCAGTCCCTCCTTGGACAGTCATGTGACCCAGCAGGTGAGTAGAGGCTAAAACCCAGTGTGCTCTGTTTGCCGAGCCAGCCACCCTGAGCGTCTTGGTCTAATGTGCACTAGCGACAGTCCTATGGTCCCACTACCTCATTGGTCACTAACCCCAGATCCACTAGAGCTGTGATGACAGGGCCATGGAACCTGCCTCAGGGCACCATCTCTACCGCAATTTCATTTTCTTTCTGTATTTGCCTTTCAGTCCTGCTGCTCTCTGCCATGGCACTAGCGACAGTCCTATGGTCCCACTACCTCATTGGTCACTAACCCCAGATCCACTAGAGTTGTGATGACAGGGCCGTGGAACCTGCCTCAGGGCACCATCTCTACCGCAATTTCATTTTCTTTCTGTATTTGCCTTTCAGTCCTGCTGCTCTCTGCCATTTCAAATGCTTCATGACTCTAAACAGATTTAGGCCATTCCTCTGGCTACTTTCCTTCCTCATTTTCTTGCCTTCCATTGTTTCCCAAACTTTTTCTTCCTCTTTTTTCTTTGGTATCTTATTCTCTTCCTCCCCCTGTCCTTCACTTCCTTCTCTGTCTCCTCTTTCTCTTCTCTCTGAATTTGGAGAGACTAATTTCAACTGCATTTTATGTTTTCTTTAAAAACATTACTATCTCAGTGATACTTTTCCAGCTCTCCCCACCGAGGCACATTCTCCTCTCCCCCTTCCCTGGCTGCTGTTTGCACGAGCTTTTCTCAGGCTTCTTGCCCACCTTATCGTTTGTCTACCGTTCACCTACACATCTGCAATGGCATGTTCACGACTATCTTTACAGATGTTGCAGAGCATCTGCTAGGTCGTCTGGCCTGGTTTGCTGCCCATAGTTAATTAAATACTCAAACTACTCCCAATTGGTGGTCAAGGGACACTGTTCCCTCCCTCCTTGACTTGTAATAATATGAATTTTTGAAGAATATCCAGTTTCTTAGACCTTCTCCCCTTCTGTCCTCAGTTTAGGCCTTCCTCTCTGAATCATGCAATGCATGTCACTGTCCCCTGCTTGTCTCTCCTTCCCCCTACTTCTCTGGTGGTCCCTAAGTTTCCTCCATAGGCACTTTCATCAAGTATTAAGTTGAGCAGTGACCACGTGCCACCTAGGCTGGAGATGCAGAGTCAGTTATGATACGGTCCCCTGCTTGTCTCTCCTTCCCCCTACTTCTCTGGTGGTCCCTAAGTTTCCTCCATAGGCTCTTTCATCAAGTATTAAGTTGAGCAGTGACCACGTGCCACCTAGGCTGGAGATGCAGAGTCAGTTATGATACAACTTCTGGGCTCAAAGACTGATAGGGGAGAAAGAGAGAAGCAGACATGCAAATCAAAGATGACACTGTAGTGTGATCAATATTGTGAATGAAGTAAGTTCTGGGAGGCCAGAGGAGGGATATGCACAGCAGACCTGGTGGGGGAGGGACAGGGGAGATGGAGCAGAAAAGGGTTCCTGAAGGAGTTCGTGCTTGGGCTAGAGGAGATTTTTGAAGGAGGAGGAAAACCAGCAGGAAACATGGGATAGGGTAGGGATCATGGAATCAGGAGGTCTTTTGGATAAAGGTAATGAGCTAGACACATTGAATGTGATGTGCCTTGGGCAGCCAAGTAGAGCTTAGTCTAGTAGATGCTTGGATACTCCTATCTGAAGCTCAAGAGAAATGGCTGGGTTGGAAACAGAGGTCTGGGTGATAGTGTTTGAATCCCTGGGTTTGGATGAAATGGCTTGGGGGGGATGTGGAATGAGAACAGGGAAGCCCTAGGGAATGAGCACAGGCTCATGCACAGAGCCCCTGGAGGAAGCAGCAGCTGAGGCACATACAGAATTCACAGGAGGAAGGACCTGAGGGAAGAGGGGCTGGCCAGCAGTGCCACCACTGCAGAGACGTCAGATCAAACGGTGACAGCGCGGGTCTTGTGCTGGTCAGTGCAGCCTTAGCAGGGGCCTGTAGTAAAGATGGTGAAATGCAAGTAGACAGCACCCAAAACACTGGATGTGGCAGGAGGGAGCTCAAGGGCTTATGGCACGGGGATTTTAGTTTTTATGGTTTTGCTTTTATTTTTTAAAGATTGAAGAGAGCCCATTGGACCTTTGCTACTGGTGCTCTGTTTCTTTGAAAATCTTCCTTTGTAGAGTTAATTTTCTTGCCAGACCCCTTAATGTCATGACATGTCTCAATTCAGGGGATGATTTTACTTTAGTCAACCTCCCAAACTCATTTTCAGTTTTTTCTGGATACTTTCTTTGATATTACTTCATTTTATTCCTAGCCAGAAAAGAGATTATATTCTTCACACCCACAATAAGAGCTCTGGAAGACAGCCTCTGAAAATCCCTTTGGAGGCACAGGAGCGGGCCCTGTGATTGAGTCTCTTACTTACAGCAGGACACAGCGCCCAGCTCCATTCGCTCGTCTTTCTCAGAGCCGTTGCCCTTGGCCTCTGGGGATTCCCCATGAGCAGCACAGATTACTGCAGCCACAATCGTTTGGTTATGCGTCACGATGACTGCTTATGGCCCAGCAAAGATAAGGGACCCTCCATCATCTCCCATGGAACTTGAAACTAGAAGAAAGGTTGCACTCTATGATAACGTATATCGTAGTAAATAACGCTCCAATTTCTTTCTTTGTAGTGTGTCCACAGAGACCTGGCAGCCAGGAATGTGCTTGTCACCCACGGGAAAGTGGTGAAGATATGTGACTTTGGATTGGCTCGAGATATCATGAGTGATTCCAACTATGTTGTCAGAGGCAATGTGAGGCTGCTGTTTCTTACATATCTTTAATACTGCTATTTTGTGTTTTGTCATTATTACAGTAAACATCTGCACTCACTGCAGTGCATTTTTTGGTTTGTGATAACATCAGAAAAAACCCTCACAGCAGTTTGCTTACTTATGCTTAAAAGGATTTTCTGCAGCTTCAGGGAATATTCCCTCTATAGTAAGAGTGAGCAAAAATAGCATCACATCTGTCTTTGGTCTAGCTATCAGAATAGGTCAACCAGGGCTCTTTCAGAACCATTCTCACTTAAAAAGCAAAAATCTCATTACTTGCACTTATGTCAGTTCCCTTAGCTATGAAGCAACTACTGAGTTATGTTTCCAATTACGAGAAAAGCTAATAGTTACAATAAAGCATTTTTCACAATATATATAACATAAACTAAATATTAAATATAAAAATTAAAAGGCATAGTATTTAAATATTAATTAATGAATATTTGTCATCCTGTTACTGTTAACACAGGGAAACCTAAAACATGACTGAATGTGCTTGTTAAAAAAAAAGCAACTAAGGACAGATGTGTCGTTTACAAGAGAACTATTAGAAATACTAGATTACAAAATTGTGTAGTTGAAAGAGGGTAGTTTTTAAGAATCCCACCCGGCTTTGAGCCCCTATACCAAATAGTGTCTGGCACATCAGAGCTCTCAATACATATTTATTAATTTGATGAATAAATAAACAAATGAAGAAATGAATGAATGGCTATATTTCTCCAATGTTTTTCTCAGGTGTGAACCCTTACCCTGGCATTCCAGTTGATGCCAACTTCTATAAACTCATTCAGAGTGGATTTAAAATGGATCAGCCATTTTATGCTACGGAAGAAATGTAAGTTCAAATCAGACTGTAAATTGGTTGAAATCAAATTTACAGTAAAACTTATTAATGCAAAGTTCATATGATTCCTCTTAAAAAAGGAAAGAAAACTCTTCTTTTTGTTTTGGGGATTTCTGAACAAAACTAAACCTTTTCTGTCCTCAGAGGCACCTACTTCCACATTTTAGTTCCTTTCCTTGAGGCATCCCTGAGGGCGATTAGACTCCATTTCCTCTGTCATATTTCTTTAAATGCATTTCTGCCCATCCTCTCATTTTTCCATTCTGATATGAGTTTAAAATCTAGTGGAGTATTTGCTACAAAACAAACATACCATAAATAAGTAGCTCTGCAGGAATCAATGGTGCTTTATTACTATATGGAAAACGGTCTAGTTTGCTTTATTCAGATTTCCTCATCTTGTTCCTTATGCTATTATTGCTTTTGCAGATACTTTATAATGCAATCCTGCTGGGCTTTTGATTCAAGGAAACGGCCGTCCTTCCCTAATCTGACTTCATTTTTAGGATGTCAGCTGGCAGATGCAGAAGAAGCGGTATGTAGCAGCGAGGAGTTTATAGAACATTATCGTAAAGGAAATTGGTAATTTAAAATACTTACTGGTGACTTCCTAAGAATCCAGAGGTACCAGGTCATCTTTGTCACCACAATTTGTTTTGTTTACCCTTTAAAAGTTGTATGGGGTGAGACATATTTATTGATAAATTAAAAAAAAAAAATTTTAAAATACTTACTGGTGACTTCCTAAGAATCCAGAGGTACCAGGTCATCTTTGTCACCACTATTTGTTTTGTTTACCCTTTAAAAGTTGTATGGGGTGAGACATATTTATTGATAAATTAAAAAAAAAAAAAAACCTTTTCTGAAGATTTCAGCCAATTGATCAATAAGTTAAAAGCTCTTAACTACCAGTGCACAGGACTAGACAACTAAATAAAATGTAATTCCTGGCCTCCAGAAGCCACTGACCTTTCCTAGTTCAACATGAAGCATTAGTATGTCATAATCACATGACTCAGTCAAGTAATATGGTAGTGCAGAAAGAGCACTGACCAGGAGTCATGAGAGTTGAATACCAGCTCTACCACTCTACCTCCTAACAGCTGTGTCCATTATGGCAAGTCACTTTACTTCTCTGGGCCTCGGTGTTCTCACCTGTAAAATGGGTTGCTAAGCTAGATGATCCTTGAACTTTGGGAACTTGGAATTACTTTGCTAACTTCTCCCATTAACACCACCTGATGTAGTGAAGAGAACCATCCCCAGATGAAGTGAACGAAGGATGGAACCTTGAACTCCCAGTCCCCGGGATTAAAGCTTGGCTCCATTATTTTATTTCTCAGATGACTTGATTAAGTCATTTAATCTTTTTTGGGAAGTGTCTTATTTCTCTTATCTGGAATATGAGATCAACAAATTTTATTTCATGGAGTTGTAAGAAAGAATAAATAAGATGATGCATGTGAAAAGATTTAGCACATACTGGGCACTTAGTATTTACTCAATAAAATTAGAGTTAAATATAAATCTGATTCTTTGAATGAATTGTCTGTCTTCCTTTCTAAATTGTTGAGTCCATTTTCAATTTTATATTCTCTCTGTTGCCCTGTGTGAGAGGGTATGTGTCCTTTCCTCCTGTTAGGATTTTTAAAAAATCACATATACAAACTAAGTTATTGTCAGAGAATTAGGTCAAAAGATTGGGGAAGATGGGAAGCCCCCAAGGTACTTATAGACTATTGGGCAGGTGACCTGCAACAGTTAAGGACACTAAAAGATAAACCGAAAGAAGAGGTATAGGAAGAAACACGAAATGAACTGGTGGAGTAAAGAAAAAAGATGGGTTAGTGCTGGCTTGTTGGGTAGTGGATATGGATCCATGGAGGCCTATTTGAGCTGCGCTGTGAAGAGTGAGTAGCATTTCGGCTGTTGGAGAATGGAGGGTGAATGGGATGCTCCAGGCTGAGTGATTAATGTAAACAAAGGCTCAAAGTTGAGAAAACAGAGTGGAAAATAAATGGCTGTGGTTACCATATAGGCTGGATGAGGGATATGGAGGAAAACAAAACTGTAAAGGGGCCCAGCCAGGCAGGAGGGGCCGCTGCTGCCAAAGAACCCCTTGGCTTGTTCAGGATGACCTTGTTCTTGGGTTGAGGTTCTCCCTTCAAGTCCCCAAACCTACAGGATGTCCAAATCCCTCTCCCTCTGTTCAGGGAGCCCGGGAGGTATCAGGAACTGTCAAATGGCAACCTGTCCGTGGGTGACGAGTCAGCCAAGGGAATCCATGCTCAGGGACAGGTGGTTCACCAGCTCTTCCTCCCCATCCCCTCCATTCTGCTCCCTCATCCTCCCTGATGGAAGGTTCTCTTTCCTACCAGAATCAGCCACAGGCAGCACACAGGTAAAACAGTAGCCCCTTTAAGTGCATTAGAAAATGGCGCCTTCTCTGGGTGGGATAAATCCAAAAAGGAGCCCCTTACTCAGGACCCACAGCCCCCTTCAGTCTGATCCAATCTAAAGGCACGAAGCACAGATTGGGTTCAGCTCCCCCTTGCCCGCTGTCCTGGGCACGTTTGTGCAAATCCTGACCCACACGCGCACACCAGGCGGCCCTGCGAGCAAAGCCTTGCTGCTTCTGTGTGCACGTGGCTGCTCCCGCTGTCCTGCTCCCATCTCCTCAGCACAGCCATCTAGTCCCCCAGATAGGAAAAGTGGCCTTGCCAGCATGCCCAGGGTAGTCTTCCCTGGTACGCATGTGAATGCTCTTGTAGAATCTTTTCTCTGTTTCATCAAGGACTAGGGAAGGAAAATGGCCCTCAGAGAATCAGGCAGGAGGAGAGGGAAATACACAGAGAAAACGTGGTCTCATACTTCTAGACTTAACCTGAACGCCAGTGGGGTTAGTTCAGGGAATCATTGAATTACATGTTGAGGCATTATTTAGACAATGGTGAGCCAATGAAGATTTTTAGGATGAACAAACATACTTCAGTCTTTAAGACCCATATCAAACATTCTCTCCTCTGCAAAGCCACCCCCAGCTTCCCTAGTCAGATTTCTAGCTCCTTTTTCTGAATTCCCATAACGCATATAACTCAGAGACTGAAATCGTATTGTATGATAATTGTGCTGTACGGGTCTGTCTTTCTCATGACTAGACTTGATCCGTGAAGGCAAGGATGATGTCCCGTTCATCTCTGCATGACCTGATGTAGTGCCTGCCCATGTTTATTAAATAATGAATGAAGGTCAGCGTGAAAGTAGGTTCAAGACCGCATCTGTTTTGTTCATCATTGTATACCCAGCTGCTAGCATAATGCTTAGCGTGTAGAAGGTGCTCAGCAAACATTTCTGGAAGGAAGGAAGGAAAGGAAATGGAAAAGTAGGTTTGAAAAGCAAGGCAAAAGATGGCACGTAAAGACATCGGTGAAGAGGCGACGGTAGCATTAGAGATGGGGGAGTGAACTAAGGTGGAGGCAGTGGGGATGGTGGGAGCGGGGACACACATACGTCCCCTTCTGAGAAAGGGGGCCGAGCTCACATCGTCTCCCCTCACACACCTGCCCCCATAAATTGTGTGAAATATAGATTTTTTTTGGAAATAAATGAGGCCATAATTGCGTTTGAAAGCCAGACAGAGATCTCTTTGTGGACCAGAAACTGGAAAGTCACTGAGACGATGGAAGCAGTTAAGACTGGACTGAAGAGGGAAAACCCGCAACAGAGATGCTTGTGAAAAGCAAGGAAGAGCCTAACTGGGGGCTGGGAAGGGTCCTGCAGGGTCGTGCAGCGGGCCCAAGTGGGGGCGGCCACATGATCAACAGAGGACTAAATGCGGGCGTTCACAATGTAAGAATAACCCCTGCTAAGACGGAAATGTAATACGTGACTTCTGGCTCAGTACAGGAAAAAGAGAATGGACTGTAGAAAACATAATCCGACCACATGGGGAAGAGAGAAACAGAATTCATGGAAATAGAAAACACAAGGTGGCAAGAATTAGTGAACCCACTTAAGAAAGAATTTCAGAAGAAATAAAATTGTTATCACACAGGCCACATTGACTAACCTCAATGCAGTGAAATGAAAAATCACCAGCGGCAACAACAACGATCAACCCAAACTCCTATACCAAAAATTAAAAATCGTGCTTCTTAAAGAAGTCTTCGGTGAACACAGGCCACATTGACTAACCTCAATGCAGTGAAATGAAAAATCACCAGCGGCAACAACAATGATCAACCCAAACTCCTATACCAAAAATTAAAATTCGTGCTTCTTAAAGAAGTCTTCGGTGAAGGAGGAGGAGAGAAAAGAAATAAAAATGGACAGTGTCTGTTAGAACCTGTGGAGTTACCCAAATTCATAGTTCTAAATTCATTTTTTAGAAAAAAAAAAGAGAATGAAAATAACTGAGCTTTCAATTCCAAGAGGCAGGGGGAAAACAATGAAGAAGGAGGAAGACGCAGCAGAGAGGAGGAGTGGATGCCGGTAACAGAATGAAGCAGGCCAGCGGCAGCCACACAACAGGGGCGTGGACAGGAAAGCCGGAGGCGTGCCTCTGAGCTAATGATGGAGCTGCCAATGTGTTCTGAGCATTTATCTTACAATCTACTAGTGCATCATCCATAATTATTCATCTAATCCTCACGTCCATCCCATGTGCTAGGTTCTATTATTTTATCTCTTTTGCAGATTAGTAAATCGAGGTAGAAAGAGGTTCGGTAATTTGCCTAAGGTGACACCTTGTCCACCTAGGATTTGAATGCAGCGGCCCGGCTGAAGTTTACGCTATATGTTAATATTATACGTTAACACAGTATACAGATCTACTACTAAAGAATATTACCTTTGAAGTGAACAATTAAGGACAAAGTCACAAATAAATAACATTCAGAATAAAAAGGAGAAAATAAGGATAGAGGCACTTTTTAAAAAAATATAAGAAAATTTATGTACCTCTTTATAGTGACGTATTTGAAAACCTAGGGTTTCACATGTTTATAAGGAGAATGTATTCATGTATTACTTGTGCAATTAAGAAGTCATTTAAAAATCACTGGAAAGGAGCGATAGGTCATAATTAGACTCGGTCACTGATTGGTCGTGGAAGTATAGAGAGACTGAAGGGTCAGAGGTGGTTCTGAGACTCCTGCAGGGTGGGACTGGGTGGCCGGCAGTACGGTAATGAACTCAGGTGTAGATGGGTTGCATTTGAAGTGTTGCTGGTGTTTATGTTACAGGCTTCATTAGAAGGTTAGGAATTCCATGCTAGACATATACGTTTTGGTTTAACCTAACCAACTGCTGTGTCTACTTTACCAAAAACACGTATGAAGAGTTATTGCTCATCTTTAAGCTGTCATTGTGCAGCACCAGGTTCACAATGGATATGTTTTGGTTCATAAGTATATAATTTTTAGTTTTCTAGAAAGAAAAATGAAGAATAGGAGACAGTCTAGTTAGCTAACACTATAACTGACTGTCAAAAAACAAAACAACAGAAATAAATAAATAGTAGCGAGGGAGGGGGGAAAGGGAGGGCGTTTGTAAAATTTAAATAAATAGAATGCACAATCCCTAAATTCCAAAGAATTCTTATAAACAATAAAAAAAATGTATAGCCTTTTATGTATTTAAAAGGGCAAAGGAAATCAGCAGGTTATTTACAATGAAATGCAAATGGTTATTAAATATAGAAAAAGATGCTCAACTTCACTTATAATGAAAGATATGCAGGTAAGGAGGTAAAACTTGTACACGGTAAAGTGGCAGAGATGTGAAATGAAGGGGGTCGGGGGGAGGGGGAGAAGTGGTGGACTAATGGGTACAAAAACTATCTACCCTAGGTGAATCTTCGTGCAGTGCATGCAGGTATTCAAACAACACACTGCACAAATGTGTACAAGTAAATGTTAGAATAAACATTAAATAGAACCCCCCAAAACAACAAAACGATATGTGGCCATGCTTAATGAATAATGAAAAAATGTAACACATGTAACATATAAACAATATGATAACAGTATGTTGGTGATTTGAAAACAAGACGCTAAAACAATATACAGCCCGAGCCTATTGACACAAAGTTCTGTGTGCACAGCAAGCTGTCTGTAATGGTGGTTAGCTCTGGTGATTTTTAGTTTTCTCTGTATACTTTTTTTTTTTTTTTTGTTTTTTTCCGTGTCCGGCAATGGATCGCAACCC